TGTCTCATCTTCGTCGTCAACCCAGGCTTCCTCGTCGGCTTCGTCTTGTTGTAACCGGCTGCTCGAAGGACTCTCCATACGGTGGACGACGAGACGTTGTAGCCGTGAACACTAAGATCACCAGCAATATCAGCGCAGCTCTTCTCTCTCCCATACCTATCGCGGCGTACGTTCTTAAGAGTAGCGTCGTGTATTTCTTCTTGTTTACGAGGGCGGCCTGCGCGCGGGGCATCTTCGAGGTACTGCGGAAGGATCTTAATTAGGCGTGCGTTAGGCTCAAAGCCTCGCTGGCAGGCTCTACCATAAATTGAGTCGATCGTACGCGGCGATATGCCTGTCATTTCTGCGATTTCGCGTGTAGATTTGCCACCAAAAGGTGACTTCAATGCAACAATAAAAGAGCGGGTCGATATATCCGTATTTGGAGCCATGGTAGATCAAAAACACTCAAAAAAATGAGTATACAAGCTATCGCCAGCTTCAAAAAATTGGTGTGGGCGCCAAGAATAGTCGGGCCGATAGGCTGGCGGCTTAGCGTGGCGCTAGCAAGAACTTTTGACAGTCACCTCCGTAGCTGCTCAAAGATAGACTTCAAGTATTAAGGGATTTATAAGGCTAGGCTAGTATATATACAACCAATGTACACGTTAGTGCTGATATATTCTCGTAGAAACGATCTGCAATGATCTTTTTTATCTCGTATATTCCTCCACATGTACGTAAGCGCCTCCTCCTCTCGAGTTGAAAACGAAAATCATACTGGCTTGGTGGAATAGCCTATTTAACAAACAAGCGCCAGTCCCTTGTATTCATCCAGTTGCGCAATAGTATTTCGATGTATTCTTGACTGCTTTGCATACTCCACTTCTCAAATTGGGGCCCTCCTATGCATGCATTAGCAATTTCTCTCTAATCTCCAAGTAGAAACACCTACACCGCAGTCTAAGTAGCATAGGAATCCCGCAAATTCTGCATCGCAGACACTGGCAGGAACACAGGCTGCAGTCGAAAACCCGACTAGGCAAAGTAGTGAAGCGGTGACAAGCGCGAAGTATTGCATATCAGGCTAAGAGTCGAGTATGGAGTAGCTGTTGTAAGAGAGCCTGTGAGTAACGAGGAAACTTGGTTCGTCTATTGTATGGCTAATATGTATACTAGTGCTGGCATATCTTTGGACTAGATATGACATTTAACTAAATTTCTAATATCAAAGTCACTCAGGTATTACATAATATGTCTAGCAGAGGAGATTGCAAATGGCAAGGTCTACAGACAATATGATGAAGTAATACGGCAGAATGGTGGACTTGCAACATCTAGAAGAGCAGTGCTGACATTGACGTAGAGCGATTTTCAAAAGTTGAGTATTGATTAGGAGGAGGCTTCAGCTTACATAGGCTAGTGCTGATAGCTTGTCCGCAAAACGACCGATTACTAGGGAGGATACAAAGGTCGCGGATCTGAATATTTTGGTAGAAAGTGACGTGTTTATATAAAAAAATCGAGTGTTTCTTCAGATATAGGGCAGAGAGGGAAATGAGAGACCTATCATTGAGTCGACGTGATATTTTAGAGATACGTTAAGAAATGAGCGATATTCCGATATATTCTAGAATGGAATGAGCAAGTGTGGAACTTGAGTTTAGTGTCTGCGGCATATTCGATTGCTTACCATGTGGTTTCGAGACGCGACCGCAATTATGCCCGCAGATGTACTTGGCGGCAGCGGTGAGCGGCACATGTATGACGGTTGACTCACTTTGTTCCAGCCAGCGCATTTTTTGAGGTTTTTGCAATCTGGTTCATCTGTAACATTGTGACCATTAGTCTCTGAGTGATAGGTTTATTTGACGTATATCCTTTGTATAGTGCCTATATGTGTAGAATATAATCAATATAGGCCTGGATCTGTGCCATTCATTATAACAACCAAGATTTGTGCTATGCTTGTAGCTGTAGCTGCAGCTGATGTTTAGGTTAGATGCAGCGACACTGACGAGCTAAGATAAGCTCTAGTCTACTTAGTTCTTGGCGCAAGCATCACGTGATACACACTGCCTAATGTTGTACAGAGGCAAGCCTGTAGTCAAATCATGGAAATCATACATTACCCCATCTTCAACCCACCATATTCGAGCAACAGTTTCTACAGATGCTTGATGCAAACGTGTTGAGTAAATTCTCTAGATGATGATGCATACATCAGGTGATCTCTATTACATACAAAGATACCCGACACGTGACTTTTGAACCCGCCAAGAGGGCCAAGACAGTGGGAACCAAATGTCGTAATCGCAATGATGTGCCGTCTGAGCGGGGCGGGGTAAAACGAGTTTCTTGGCTCCGTTGGGTGTATGCATGAGCTATTTTGCGTTACCATGGTATCCTCAGGAGTACTCGAAACATGGCGGCCAAGCTAGCCGAGAGTGTTGGTGGTGGCTAAGATGCGCTTACTTCATTGCCCATGTATGTATGCTTTACAGTTCTGGGACTAGACTGCATGTATGCAGAGCAATATTCCCTTTCTGGTATACTTGAAGGATATTTATCAGTGTATTCAGCATCTGGTCTGTCAATGTCCTTGTATTCACCAGTGTCCAGGCCAAATATAGGTGTACACGACAATCAACACTTCTAGACTACAACTGGTAAATTGAACCAAGACATTGATGGCAAGTCGATAGACGATGCTGTTCTACCCAAGCATTGCGTAACCAACCCACCCGTGTCTGCAAAGGACACGTGAGCCGCATCTACACGCCCACAGGCACAGGACTGGCCGCGCGGGTAAAGCACGAGGACCGGCGACCCGAGGCAAATTAGTGTTTTAGCACCAAGGCTCCATGGCTGTTGGGTCGAGCAGCGTGCCCCTCCAAGGACAGAGGGGGAAGACGGAGGGGGGAAGACGGGTAGGCGGAAGAATGCACGGCTAAACAGGGGCGGGCGCCCATGTGGAAACGGTTTCTGGGACGGCAACGCAGGATGATTCAGACGGGCCCCATTGAACAGTGTGGGCTGGGCGTGTGGTTGTGGATGTGGGTGGGTGTCTTGAGGACCCAAGTGAAGAGAGCTTGGCTGGAGCGGACAGCCGTGCCGGCGGGTAAATCGAGCTTGTCCGGTGGGTACGAGAGACAGCCATTGTGTACCCCTCCAATGATAAGGAGCATGGAGCGACGTAGGAGAGGAGGGCGGAATTGATTATTCGAACCTGTCCCAATCAACATATACTTGCAGAAAGAGAAGGGAAAAAAGAGAATACATACCACACACCATGGCGGACAAAGACCCCGTCGTCACGCACATCTACACAGCCGACCCCTCAGCACACGTCTTCAACGGCAAACTCTACATCTACCCGTCGCACGACCGTGAGAGCGGCATACTCAACAACGACAATGGCGACCAATACGACATGAACGACTACCACGTGCTCAGCATGGACTCGGTTGGAGGGCCCGTGACGGACCACGGCGTGGCGCTGCGGCAGGAAGACATTCTGTGGGTCAGCAAGCAGCTGTGGGCGCCCGACGCAGCGACCAAGGACGGCAAATACTATCTCTTCTTCCCCGCGCGCGACAAGGAGGGCGTGTTCCGCGTGGGCGTGGCCAGCAGCGACAAGCCCGAGGGCCCGTTTGCGGCCGAGCCCGAGCCCATCCACGGCAGCTTCAGCATCGATCCCGCGGCGTTTGTCGACGACGACGGCCAGGCGTACCTGTACTTTGGCGGCATCTGGGGCGGCCAGCTGCAGTGCTGGACGACGGGCGAGTTTGTGCGTGCCGACTACGACAAAATGGAGGCGTCCGAGGGCCCCGCGCTGTGCGCAAAGGTGGCGCGCCTGTCCGACGACATGAAGAGCTTTGCGTCTGCCGTGAGCGACGTGGTGATAGTGGACGAGGCGGGCGCGCACATCGCCGCCAGCGACCATGACCGCCGCTTCTTCGAGGCGGCATGGATGCACAAGTACCAGGGCAAGTACTACTTTTCCTACTCGACCGGCGACACGCACTACCTGTGCTATGCCGTGGGAGACAATCCGCTCGGCCCCTTTACCTACGGCGGCCGCATTCTCGAGCCCGTCATTGGCTGGACCACGCACCACAGCATTGCAGAGTTCAAGGGCAAGTGGTACTTGTTCTACCATGATTCGAGTCTGAGTAAGGGCGTCAATCATCTGCGCTGCGTCAAGATCAGGGAGATTGTCTATGACGACCACGGTAAGATTCACCTGGCCGAGAGTCAGCCAAAAGTTTAAGGGGGGGCGCCATGGTGTGAGAAAGAGAGAAATGATTGTCACTTTCTATCAATCCATCCATCTTAGTAGATTACGATCGCCGCCACATAACACATGTAAAAATAAAAAAAACCCCACCCAGATATAGGGGATATATCCAATGCGAACAGAATAACAAACAACGCCTGCAAATGCTCATAACAACACAAAAAACTCCATGCTGTACAATGGCCCCGGGTATACAAAAAAGGGAAACAAGAAGAAAAATCTTCAACAATACAACATTAGACCTTGGTATCCCATCTCTTGGTCCGCTGCTGAAGGCCCTTCCAAGCCTCTTGAACCAGTTGCCTTCTCTTCAATTTCTCGCCCCTTTGCACCAGAGCCAGCCACAGTTCATAGCCTCGTTCCCGCTCATGTAGCCACACACCCTTTTCGTCGCCAAAGACATCTCTCTGTTGATTCAATCTGCCGCATACGCCGTCGAGTTCGCCCCACGCCAGCCAGAGCTGCTCCGCTGCAGTCCAGATGCCGCCGCGCCCCCCACGCGCATCCCAGTACCGGTCTCCGCCAACAAGCGAGTCATGGTAGCCGCTGGGCGACTGCGGCGTGCGGAAGTATCTGCGCAGCAGGGCACGTTTGTATTTCGAGTACCAGAGCTGCTCCCGCGTGATGTCTGGACCGGCTTCATGGTCGTTTGGTGCAGGAGAAGCGTCAATGATGGCAGGAACCGCTCCCGTATACGTATTCTGGATCAACGGAACCTCGCTCCAGGGCAATTTGCGCTCCGGGAGAGTGTCGAGGTCCGCCTTGTACTCTAGCGGGGATATGTATGCGGAATGCTCGTGGGGCGAGGGGCTAGTCTTGGACAGGTCAGGGCGCGAGAACGGGGGCTTGGTATCGCGGAGTCCAGCGGGGAGGGTGAGGTTCTTGTCGATGGAGCCAGGGTGGCTGTATTGAGAAAGGTTGGTTGAGTTGTCGTGCACGAGCAACATAAGCTCATCTTTGGTGTTAAAGGCCAGGGGCTGGAAGAGGACATGGGCATAGTCCAAGCCGACTGCAAAATCCGGCCTGGTACAATTCTCCTGCCTGGTGCAATTGGAAAAGTTTGCCTGCGCATGCTCTAGCCTGTGTTTTGCATCTGCTTTACCTTCTTTGAAAGACAACAACTCCTTCATCTTCGCGCCCACGTTCGTTGTCTGCACCTCGGCTGCATCTCTGCTCAACTGCTGCTCTGCAAAGAGCGTAGCGAGCACGGACTGGACCGTCTGCGACTGACTTTGGCGGTGTATAAATTTCTGCTGTGCAGCACGGTACAAGGCCCTTAAATCGCTCGCCGGACCCATGACCATTCTTGCGTTGAGGAATTTCGCCGGCATCTGTGATATGCGCCGAGCCGTCTCTGTTGTGTACAGGTTATCCGAGAAAATGGAATGGGCCACATATCCGCACGCCTTGTCATCGCCCTGACACTGTTTATCGGCTCCGAACACAATCGTCTGGTTGAACTTTTGGTACCCGTCCTTGTTTCGCCCATATCTTTTCAGCAGCCGCACATTGGCATCCACAAGCAAGCGCTTGTACTGCGAGACAATCACGTTGCTCGGCAGCTGGAACCAAGTGTTCTCGCCATCCACAATGAGTATGAGGTCGTGGTCTTTGACGAACTGTTTATTGCTTAGGTACTTGAGCGTGCGTTGGAGGATCTCTCGTTGCCGTTTTTCATCCGATTCGAAATTCCCGCGCAACCCCACCGCAGTAACTGGAGGGTAGTTTAGCATCATGGCCGACGCTGTCGTCTTGCAAAAGTCGATTGTGTCGCTCTCTGCTGGCATGATGAGGTGGAAGTTGGGCGTCGTCTTTTTGAGCCTGGCCGGCACACGGTCGACCTGGCCATTTTCCAGCTGCAGCGTCAACTCCGAGGGCGTCTTGAACGGCGACTGTATGATATTTGGCAAGCTTGGGAGATGCTGTGTCCATGGGTAGTATGTAGAGATGTTATTGTATCTGGACGACAAGGCCTAGCCATGGCGTTAGCATGCCATTGAGAAAGAGACGGCCACCACACACTTCTTGGTTCCTCATGCCGGCCATTACCATCAAAACAGTGCACAGGAAGACAGTCAGCACCATGGCCCGCCCTCTCCTTGTGCACACCCATTGTATCGCCGCACCACCGACTTCCTTGGGCGATCGAGTGGGAGACAAGTAATCCAAATCGACAGCCATGGTATCCGACTACAACGTTGCCGAGTACGTGGTGAAAGAAAATGAAAGAACAAAAAGAGGCTCAAAAAGGGTTCATAAAGGGCACCAGGGCCCGGAGTGTACAAGAAATCAACGCAGGGAACCAAATGTACATGCCTGGGGAAGCGGAAATAGTTAAATGATGGGTACACAATCGATCGGCCTGCAAGGTACAGGGCTTTTTGGCGTGGCAGCGGGCTGGGACACGACGTGGTCTTGGTATTCCGCCCATGGCCGTGTGCATCAGCGGTACGCCAGGGCCACACATGCACATTAGTACTATCTGTGGTAGTAGCCGTCTTACGTCACGGGCCGACCAAGAACGCGCGTACGGTCCACCTCAGGAGCTGTCCATCGGGAGCGGCACTATTTGCTTGTGCGAGGGTGTAAGCCTTCCGTTTCGCCGGCAGCTCTCAACAGCGTGTATCCCAGGAGCGGGTGGGAACATGGAGCGGTGGTCGTGCTTGGATTCCTGGAAGAGAAAGACGTGATCCGACGTGTGGCGTGCTTCTTTTTTGGGCGACGGGTCCTTGTCGCGCCGAAGTCAGCATGCGGGCAAACCTTGTTCGCCATCATTTCAGTTCAGTTTGTCTGCAATCTTTAATCATGGTGTGCAGCATGCTATCATTCGTGCTCAAATACGCCTGTCAGCCGTCAGAAAAGTAAGACGTGCCGGGAAACGCCTGCATGCAGCTACGTTCCACCTTTGCGCGCGCTACATACTTGGACCTACGTCTGATACATAACAACGCCAGCGCCAAAACGGCCCAGTCGGGAGCTGCAGTTGTGGCAACCACCAGAGTAGCTGTACAAGATGCACATGGTATTGCCTTGGCCATGCTGCCTCAGCATCAGGCATGCTATTACACGTCTCTTGACATCTACTGAACCATAATCCAAACAATCCAGCTTCATCGGGTATTGTGGTGCCAAGTCCAAAACGCCAGCGCTATCCAAGAACACGATGCTTCCTTCTCAGCAACAGCGGCCGTGGCTTCGGCACACGCTTGCCGTTCACGTATGCGGTACCGAATATCCCAACACCAAACATCGCGTCGGCCCTTGGTCCGGTCAAAACACACTCATCAGCCCCAAACTCCATCGCCCCAACACTAGAATGGTGTCAGCACACACTAGCAGTGACTACGCCACCTAGGCCTGAAGGGTCTGGTACAACTTCAACGCCTTGGTGCGCACGTCTGCACACTGCTGCAACGCAACAATGTGTCGTTCCTGTGCAACCTTCCACGTCTCCATGACGCTCTCGTCTTCCTCCATCTTGGCCAGGTAGCTCACGAATCCCACCTTCTTGCTGGTCTCGCCACGGTTGCGAATAAAGTGCTCGTCCAGCTCCTCCATCTCCGTGTTGCGCGCCGCAAAGTGCCCAGTAAGCACTTTGCAGTAGTTCCTGTACGACTTGACATACGACCCCATGCGCTCAAAGTACTGATCAATCGACGCCAAGTCCAGCTTGGCCGGCACGGGAGGCGCATGCGGTACCTCGGGGTACTTGAGACTTCTTGCTGCATTTGCCTTGATAGGGTGTGAGTTGGACGCCTCGGAAGAAAAGGGAAGCGCATCCCCAACAGACGCCATTCCACCCAGTCCATTCTTCTGCGGCTCGACAAGCGGCTTGATAAAGTCGGGCCCGAGACCGTTCAGTCCTGCTGCAGGCGGCTTTGCAGTCGTCGCCGACGATGGCGCAGTGGCAAAGCCATTCGGTATCGAGCTTGCTGCGGCCGTGTTGAGCTTTGGCGCCTTGGTTGTGCTCTTCTTCGTGTCGGCCGATGGTGGCCCAGGGTCAATATCCATTGCGTCGGCATCGCCATTGGCCGCTTCCTCAGCAAAAGCCTGGTACTTTGGCCGCGATGCATCTGACTTGTCTTGAGACTTGGCTCCGTTCTGTTGCACAGACGCCTTGCGCGGGCCCTTTGGTCGCTTGGTAGTCTCGGACGGCCGACGAGGCGACGTTTCCTTGGCATCGTTGTAGACCCAATTCGGGTCTTTGAATGTCTCTTGCCAGTCCTGAGGACTAAATTTGGCCGCATGCGGAGCTACTGGAGGCGGAGGAAAGTTGACTCCAGGAGGCGGACCAGGCGGCGGCGGGGGGATGTGATCGAGTGGAACCTGCGGTGTAAATGGATTGGACTGTGTGCTGAATGGGTTGCGGTCTTTTGTACTACGTTGCGAGGCTCTGCCGCGCGATGGCGAGGTTCGGCCTTTGGAGCTGGCACCTTTTGCTATGTCAGGAGCAAAGTAACTACTGCTGCCTTCGAACTTGCCATGCCAGTCCGATGGCGAGAACTTCATGTTGATGCTCTCTTCGCTCCGGCTCTTGAAGCTATTGGGCATGTGGCCCGCTGCGCCGTAGCTCTGTCGTCTTGGGTCAGGGGTCGCAAAGCCACTCTGAGCCCACGTTGGCGGAGGGGGTCTTTGGGCCTGTGGCGGGGGCGGGGGTGGAGGATCATGGTGATGTTTGCCATTGATCAAATCACTATCTGAATCAGAGTCTTCGTCGCTCGAGTCGGGGTAGCCATGCGCAAAGCCCTTGTTGGCCGTGCCGTTGGACTTGTTTGGTGGCGCCTTGCGACCCGAGTCAGAGTATGCGCCTGCGTCGTGCGACGAGCTTGCTCGGTGCATGTACGTTGGTGAATTGCGCACGCTCGCCGATCTGCCCATGTTTTCAAACATGGACGTTCGCTCGCCCCCGACATGCGAATAGTACGGCGTGCGCACGCGGTTGCCTTCCGAGTATGGCACATTGTCAGCATGGCTTTCTTTGGGAGGGGTGGCGGAGCGGGGTGGTGTTGGGGCCGCGCGAGCATAGTTTCTATACGCCGACCGCGCCTGGCCCTCGTCCACGCCCGGCATGGAAGGGTCAAAGCCCTGCTTGGGCGGAGCTCTTGTGCTCTGGCTCCGTCCAAAGGGGGTGCCGTTGGGGTTGCTCGGGGGATTGGCGTGTGCGCTGCTGTAGGGGTTTGCATTGTGCTGCCGGGCCTCGTCGCCCCGCGGCTGCTTCATCTTCTGCCATGCCGTAAAGACATTGGCCCTGGCCTCTGCGTCCCTGGCCCGCGCGTCTGCTTTTTGCGCTGTTGGGGGCGGGCGAAAGTTTTTGTTGGTGAAGCGGTCTGCGCCTGTGCTGTACGAGTGCTGTGGCTGTGGCGGGGGAGGGCGCTGTGCCTGCGGCTTCGGGGGAGGAGCGCGATAGTAGGAGCCGCTGGGCGTTGTGGTCGTGTATGCGTTGCGTGAGGGCGGCGGCCTTGCCCTCGGCGTGTTGGGCGTGTTTGCGGGAATAGAGGCATTGCGGTATTTCCTCCTCTCTGCGTCGTACCTTGCTCGTTGGGCTGGGTCGCCCAAGACCTCGTGGGCGGCCTGGATCTCCTGGAATTTGACAACAACCTCGGCCTCGCGCCCCGGGTTGCGGTCGGGGTGGTACTGCAGCGCAAGCGTGCGGAAGGCCTTGCGGATCTCGTTTTCGCTGGCCGTCGAAGACACCTTGAGGTCGGCGTAGTAGTTGCGCGTGGGGTCGGCCTTGACCATGGTTGCGGTGGCAGTGGGACTGGCGAGGCGGGCGAAGAGAAGACGTCGATATGGCGGGCGTGCGCAGGCGTAGTCACCCCGCAGGCTGCAGGTTTTGGCGGTTCACAGCCTCGTGCCGGTGCCGGGCAGTGCTGCTCAGATGATGGTGGTTGGCCGCGCGCGTGCACGTCGGAACATTGTGTCTCGCCAGGTGAAGCGCAGTGGCAGGAGCAGAGGCAGCCTAGGTGAATCACATCGTCAGCCGCATGTCGTCAGAGTTGCCGGGCGGGTGCGTGTACCGTATGCGTCTATTGGAACGTGGGTTGCCTGCTGCGTTGGCGGCGAGGAGGTGCTGCATGTGTTGTGGGTTGGGCTGAGATGTTTTGCCTGCGAGGGGCGTCCGGCAACGCCTGCTGCAGCCTCCAGGCATCCCCCCTAGCGCATTCACGGCCATGGCCCAAAAGCAAACTCTTCCTCCGCCAGCGAGGCCACCAAAACAGGGCACATTGGCCATGCAGCCTGGGCACAACAAAAACAAAGACACCGAGACAGGCACCAGGCACTCGTGCGTCTTGTTTTGGGCATACATCTGACGTCGTTGGTGCAGCCGGCCTTGTCGACCCCTCAGGCCATCTACGTTGCTGCCACTATCCCCAACCCAGCACCGCCTGCATCTGCCAGGCCCCAGGCAGGCGCAGTACCCTGCTCACGCAATCACACTCTGCAACTTCACAACGCAGCATCTCAAATGCTGTCCTTCGTAACATCATGAATCCATGGTATTTTAATTTTGACAGTCCTGCCAGCCTGCATGCTGTTCGGAAGCTACATAGCCCAGGACACCCTATGCCATTCACGCCAGCCCATACGCTTGAAATAATCGACCAGACGTCCCACCGAGCACACGACTCGCTCAGCGCATTTAGCGGTAGCGCCAGAGAGAGAGCGTGTTGTGCCTCTTCCAGGTCTTCCTCCTGCCGGCAGAGGTGTTGTTGAACTTGTGTCCACGGCCGAGACCACGGCTCTTCTTGCCCGTGGCAGTGAGTCCACGGCTCTCGCGGTGCTTGTGGACGGGCTTGACGATCCAGTTGATGCGAGGGTCGCGGCGGATGGCCTTGTGCTGGGGGTCGACGCAGATGACCTCGTAGTACTTGTACGTCGAGTCCTGGTTGATCCAGTACGAGTTGAGGACGCGGAGGTTGGCGCAGCGGCGGCCGACACGCTCCTCGGCGGTCGACTTGAGCGAGCGCTGGTACTTGAGCTGGTTGATACCCTGGTTGGTGGGCTTGCCTGGGAGCTTGTTAGTTTTTGCTGCGTGAAAAGTCTGCTGCTCGACGCATACCGTAGGTGGCGCCCCTAAAACAAAATGTTAGCTATGCTCTCACTCAACCCATCGTCGCCAGCTGTACGTACTTGGGAGCGGGCTTCTTGCGACCTCCACGACGGACGCGGATGCGGTAGATAACGTAGCCCTGCTTGGCCTTGTATCCGAGGCGGCGGGCCTTGTCGGGGCGCGAGGGGCGGCTGGCACGGTGGATGACCTTAAGTTGGCGAAGCTATCGATGCACTCTCAGCAAAGTTCAACGAGTACACCAATTGAGACGGCAAGTCTCGGGGAATTGTGATCATACCTCCCAGCACTGTCAGATGTTAGCAGAGTTCTTCGCCAGCTCAATCGTCTATACGTACGCGAACGCGCATCAAGAAGCGCATCATGTCCGACTGCTTCTTCTTCTGAAGTTCTTCGACATCTGCCGCGGATTAGCTGCGGCCATGGCATTACGATATTCGGCGTGCGCTTACACTTGAGGGCACCCATCTGTCGCAATGTTAGCAATGGCCTTGCAAATACCGTAAATCGTGCAGACGTACCTTGGCTGTTGGTTAGTAGGTTGTCGACGCAGTCGTGCTGGTGTTGGAAAAGAGATAGACCGCCGATATTTCGCGTATTGTGTGGGGTGGTCAGTGCACGCCACTAATCCTATCGCGTCTGGCGCTGTGACCTGCAGAACACTGGGCTGGCATGGCTGGAATGAATTTGCACCCACATACATAGTCCTATGAGAGGGCCTGTTGAAAGTATAAGAAATTTCACAGTTATGACAGGCCCACTTGCTCCTAATCCTCAGCTGCCCTCGTCCAAGGGAAGACCCTTTGTCATGCGCTTGACTCCCCTCTCCGCGTATTTCAGGCTCTTGAGAAATTCATAGTTCAACTGCACCTCGTCTCCCTCCAGATTCACATCTCCATCCTCGTGCATTGGCTCTGGGGTGCTGCCATCTTCTGCTCCCAATAACTTTCTCATGTTCCTCATGGCCACTCTTGCCCCCAGCCTGAGCTGCTTGTCAGCCTCCTCGAGATCCTGCTTCCAAGTCTCTGCAATCGGATGCGTTTGTTCTTCTCGGAAGTCTGATATGATGCCGTCTAGTCGCCGGTATTCGTTGGCCAAATCCTCAGAAGCATTCAAGATGTTGGTGACGGCAGTGTGTACCGTGTTGCTCGCGATATTGGTACCTGCAAGGGTAGGCACTTCATCTTGTGTGCGGCGATTCGGAGTCTGCAGAGCTTCAAGAATTTTCGCAGTCAGTTCGTCGTGGTGGCGCTTCTCTTCCGCTTTACTGTGGAATTGCTCAGCACTTTGCTAGAGCTCACCTTCCACACACGATGCATGCAGAACTCACACAGTTTTGCTCCGCCGTGCAACCAGGTCCTTGAGCTTCTTCTGATCGGCTGCTATCCTTGCACCGAATTGTTGCAGCTCGTTATCGTCCATCTTGGGTTTTTTGAGTAGACGGCCAAGTTCAAGCATCTGCCTGAGTAGTCTGAGCTTGTAGCTTTCAACAGGGCAACCAACACTCACTGGCTTTCGGTCTTGTCTGGACCATCATCGTTCTCGAACTCCGTAGGCTGGATACGTCCCTTGCCCTTCTTTGCAAGTGACGGAGCACGTTGTCGCGCCATTGCATATGTGTCAGTGCAGAGTTGAGACTGGGAGGCGAGGTGAGCAAGACCGGACCTGAAGGGAAGGTACGACTAACACTAGACATCAGCAGCCAAATGCGTAGATGCACGTGCTTGGCCCCATCTGCATCACAGTAAACGCAACGGTTCACGGCATGGAATCAATGTGGTGCAAAAAGCTTTTCATTTCGCTACATGGGCATACATTGAACAAGACATGCACGAAGTAATCGACTGGCCGTATGCTCGCAACGGATTCAGCTTGTGAAGACCGCATCTTTTGGATAAAACAAGACAAATTAAGGGGAATTTAGTAAGGGGAGTTGAAGCAAATGTAAAAAAGAAAGTATCAATCACCGTCCCATCTTCGACGGTAGCTGTCATGGGTACTGCCGTGATTTCTGAGGCCGTGAATGACGCAAAGAGATATAACATCCATCGCCAAGCAACCGGGTTCGCCAGAAAGAACCCAAAACATGGTACTGAAAAAAGCATAGTATGAAAAGACTCGAGTGTAATCGACGTTGAGCTGGTCACACGTTCAATCGTGGAAAGAAATGCAGCATATCGCCCTGACGATATGACAGCCAAGAAGATCGAGTCGGTAGATTAGCCCGACGCGTGCAAGGGCTTTCAGTTTGCCTGGTTGCCAAGAGACATGCTTTGCATGGCATTCATCAAGCCGGCGTCATAGTTGGCGCTGGGATGAGCTGCACTGGTGGCCGTGTGAGCACCACTACCGGCATAAGTGCCCGAGGTGCCGTTGGGTTGACCTGCAGAGGTACCATAGTAGGCACTACCGTTGGATTGGCCAGGCGCCGAGGTATAGGGAGCATTGCCGCCATAGGATGTGGATGCGTGGCTATTGAAATTGGGGCCGGCGTTTGAGGTGTAGTTGCGCGGGGCAGTGTATCCAGCCGTGGTTGTGCTTGGTCCATAACTTCCACCATACGACGAAGGAAACGAGGTGGGCGGATAGTAGCCAGCAGCTGCATAGTTCATCGGACTGCCACTCGCACTCACATTGGGGTAGTAGTTCCGGTACATGTGAGGTGCCATCTGCTGACCATGGGTCCATGGCTGCATGCCGTACTGAGCCTGTGTAGGATAGGCGGGAATCTGGTGTGAAAAGGCGTGGAAGCCCTCCTCGTAGTTTCCATATCCGCCATGGTTGCGACCTTGGCCTATCCATAATCAATAAATGCGTAGATGGGCAAACGAAGCGATATACTCACTGTACTGCTGAGCAGGGCGGTTGGTGTTGGAGCCGAAGCCAGGGCCGACAGAGAGGGGCGCGTTGGTGTTGGAGGTGAGGATCGCTCCGGGCCCGATGGCTGAGGGTGGCGGAATTTGAGACATGCCTGCCGGATTGACGACAGATGCCGGATTGACAGCCGACATCCAAATGCGGACCTTGTACTGCTTGAACAAGTCGGTAACGAGCTCGTTGAAGTTGACATAGGACTCGGCATAGTAGAAGTAGGTGAGCTTGTGGTAATCGCTAGAGTATGTTAGTAGACGCCAGACTTGAGCAAGTCACACTTACGCTTGGTACTCGGCATCCAAGATCTCCATAGGCAACTTGTGGTCAGCAGCCTTCTGTGCGCCCAGGCGCTTGGCCTTTGCCTCTCCGCCCTCCTTCTCACGCAGTCCCATAATCTCATGCTGCTGAGCGAGGCGCTTGATCATCTTTGGCTTCAAAGTCTCAGCTTCCTGCTGGCCTGCCATTCCCGTACGGCTCATGGGGTTCGGGAATCCGTTGGCACGCGCGAGAGCACCCAGCATTCCAGAGTCGTTTTGGGTGCCAGCCAGAGAGTACTGGGAGAACATGACGAGCCAACGGAAATGCTCGTCGTTTGCCTCGGCCTTGAACTTCTTGGCTTCCTCCATTGTCACATCGGCATGGGTGACTTGCCCAAGATCGCAGCCACGGTCGCCCTCGACAATGACAAGGTCACCACGGCGGATCTCAAGACCAGTGTTTTCGTAGAGGTAATAGATGTCGGCTCGAGAGCACTTGAATGTGACGACAAACAAGCGGCGAGTAGGCCGTCCGAGGACAGGAGGCACGGCGTAAGGGTTGCTGGCGGACATTGCAGTGTTGGGCACAATCGGGTCTGGGTGAGCTGCGGAGATGGCAGACGAATTGATGGCACGAGATGCAGGGCCGTAACCAGTGAAGTAGGCTGCGGCATCAAACGGCTCGTTGTCCTCGTTGGGAGAAGTCTGTCGGGGCGACATGTACTCTTCTTCCTCTTCCTGCGTGTTGCTCAGCGTCGAGAGTGGCATGGTGGAATTGTAGCTCCCGTAGTGTGCGAACGAGTGGCGACGACCAAGAGGGTCCATTTCTGCAGGAGAAATGTTGCCCGTCGTCCACTGCGGCTTCTGTGGGCTGTCGACAATCTCAACCTCGTGGTCGCGTTTGAGGACAGAAACGTGCTCGCTGAATCGCCGAGTCAGTCCTGGTGTGGGAATGTTCAGAGATGGGTCGCTGTCGTCGAGCTCCTCAATGGCATACTCGGCGGCGTTGTTGTATGAGCTGTTGCGCAGGCCAGCAGTAGTCTTGCGGCGCTGCTGTTGGAGCTGTGAAACCGGCGAGCCAGTCGAGGTAGCTCGGTTGCGGGCGCGCGCATTCTCCATGGCAGCTTGCTTCAACAAAGCTTGCTTCTGCTCGCGCTCCCAGTATCCAGCAGGCAGGCGCACTCCGTGTTCTGATCCGTTGGACGACTCAATATCATCGACGTCGTCTTCGCGCAGCTGAGAAAGACCGACGGCAGGCTCACCTAGAAGGCTTGGCTTGGAAGGCCGATGGCGCAGATTGACACCAGTCGGCTGGCGCGAGAAGCGGCTGACGGGACTGTGCTCAATGTCGCCCTGTCCTATGCTGTAGGATTGCGAGCGGACGGCTTTGCGGAATGGGTTTGGGACCTGCTGGTTGAGAAGGAAGCCAATGCCGTCGTCGCCCTCGAGCATGGTGGGAGAGGGAAGGGGTTTGTCACTGGGTGGGTATGCAGAGGTAGGCGATGGGGCGACTTCCTTCAAGCGGCTGTTGGAACTCGAAGTGAAGCTAGGCGTGTTCCAGGGAAATGCAGAGGTGCTGGGACGTGTTTGCTGCGGCAGCTCGAGCGACGGCGTCGTCGGCTGCGACCCGGCAAACGACACCGAGGGCAGCGAGAACTTGCGGTTCGGTTGGATGTCTTGAAGCCAACCAGAAGAGGGGCGTCGGACGCCAGGGTACGCCTGACGAACAACGGGAGCCACGTGCTCGCGGTCATCGTCACTGGATGCCAAGACATCACTGTCTGGGGTGGGACGACGCAGCTGCAACTTGGACTTGTCGAGAGCGGAACCGCCAACGGCTAGACCGCCTTTGTACGTGTTGGAACTCATGCTGATTGGTCTTTGTCTAGGACCTGTTAGCGGATGCCGAAGCCTACAGAGCAGGCGGGCGTGCCTTGAAGTCTAGTGTAGATGGATGGCTAGGTGGATGTCTAGCTCACGCTGTCTTGACAAGGAAGATGCACAGAGCACACTGTGTATGTATTCACCTTGTGACAGGGTGTGTAGATGGAAGTGCCGTCTAGGTAAGCGGTGTGTCTAGAAGCCGTAATCACCTAGAGGCAAACTTCTTAGCAACCAGCGTGAACATTCGGAGAGACAAATGGCAAGGCCAGGCAGTAGGGCATGACAGGTGAAGGCAAAGCCCGAGAGCTTCGGGGGGATAAAAGGGCACGTGATACGTACCTGGACCACGGGTGTCAAAGATGTGGATTCTAGGTGTGTGGTAGACAAGTTTGACAAGCACGAGACGCGTGCAATGACTTGACAGCCGCTCCACACATGTCAGCATCAGCCCGTGTTTGTGCACGGTGGTCGAGACTCACCTGTGATTGTTGGCAACTGTGTAAGTCTGTTCCAATGTAGTCTAGCAAAGGAGCTCGATGTTGTTTTGCCGCTCTATAGAATACGAGTGGCGCAGTTGTGTGGTAGGATGGGAGTAGCTGGCGAAGGCGGGCCGTCTGGAAGCACACGAGGGGTAGGGTGCGACTTGGCAAGCAGATGGACTTTTTGCTGTTTTTTTTGTTTCGGCTCCGGCCCCTAAGGATACGAGGGGTTCAGGGGAGTGTGTGTGCGGAGCTTTTTGAAGCGGCTGTGAGAACAAAAGCAAAATCAAGACGATGTCAACGGTAGGGTGAAGAGGGATGACGGGCGAGTGTAGCGGAAGACAAACACGGAAGGAACGAAGCCAGCAGCGGGGGAGGCTGGTGGCCGGCGCTGGTTTTTTTTTACGACCGGGTGACTCGAGTTGTCGCCCAGAAAGGTTTCTAGGGAAGGAGCTGGCGTACGTGAGGCAGGAGCCCTCTGCAACGATGGCTTTAGAGATTACTGTTGTCCACGTGTTTCTTAGCAATGATCCGGCGGGAGGGCAAAAGCAATGTGGCTTTAGAAGATGAAAGCAGCATGCAAGGAAGAAGCCTGCAGTGCCATCGAGAACATGCTGCCGTACAGTGTTGATGCTTCATACGAAACACGGCGTCACGTGCCTAGCTGGTTGTGCATCGAGTCTGAGCATACCCAAGACATTGACACGCACCCTCGTGTTCTGGCTCAAGGAGCCGACAGACATCTCTTTCGAGCCAGGCAGGATGGCGTGGGGGGGAATGTGCGCAGCGATTGAGAGTGCCCGTCCAGACTTCTCATCCCCACCACACCACTTCGCCTTGCTCTGACCCTCTCCACGCCACCACCTGATCACGAGAATGCACAAAAAAGCCGCTGAAAGAGGACATTGGAAGAACGAGAGATGAAAAAGAGATGCCGAAGAAATGAAAAAAGAAATGAAGAAGAAACAGAGACGCGGTGCTTACCTAGTTAACAGGATTGTCTACAAGATTACGTGGTGCGGAGCTCGATGCCCAAAGCAGGTCTAACAGAAGAAGAGCGGTATATCCTGTCGTATGGAGTCAGCGACACGAGACGGCATAGGGCATCAGAGCAGGCGGTGGCGTGGTCAGAGTGCCGTACATGACAGCAGCGGGCGCGGCATGGCGGGCACTCAGCACACAGCGAGGGTACGTACCGGGCAAGCTCTATCCCACAATGACTCTATAGAAACAAACCGATTGGGAAGAGAACTAACACCACTTGTAAGTAGGCTGTGGAAACCGGCGCCGCCGCAGCAGCAGGCGTGGTTGGGCACATGTGTCGCGACGGCGCAAAGACGAACATACCTCCAAACGTACGCAAACCAAGCGCCAAATTCTTGAACCAGTCTATCCCTAATCTTTCTTGTTGAAGGTGTCGAAGACGAAGACGATACGCTATGGCATCAGGTGTTGCATGAGATCATACGCGCCTAGGATCGGCGAGAGGGCTTCGGGTCCTCGTTAGAAGGTGGGGAAGCGCCACGCTGCTAAGCCCAAGGCTATCCCGCAAATCAAGGACAAGTGGTTGGAGGAGGGATGCGCAACTACTCGAGCAAGCACATGTCGCCCTGTGTCCCGGACGACAGAGGATGAGGCTATGGAAATAGGAGGACAGCTTCCACGGCGGCCAGAACTGACGGCAGCAGTGTTTCGCCTTGGCGATCGTTCGAAACGTTGGGGGAGCAGACGCGGCAAGACACCCTGCAGTTCCGCGCGCGCGCTCCTTTGTCAGATCAGGGGGGGCAACACGGCCGGCACGAGCACGAGTACGAGTACGGGCGCGAAGGCTTTGCGGCGACGGAGGAACGAGAGGGGAGAGGAGCTGCCAGCGGGACGACGGGATAGACAGGTGGAGGCAGGACCGTCATTACACAAAGGGCGACGACGGAAGCGTAGAGACGGGCAGACATGCAACGCCTTTGAGGCTTCTGCACCTCCTACGCCTGGCCAAGGGTCAGGGGCTTCTGAAGGGTCGTTGCGCAGCAAAATGCGGAGACGGCCAGGCCAAGGAGGGCTAGCCGTGCATGCTTCAGGCGAACTGGTGCAAATTGCTGTGCTGTTGGGGGGGTCGCCGGACAGGGCCCGATTCATCAGCATCGTGCCCTCCCCTCCCTGTCAACCCCTCTCGCACCAACACGCTCCCCCCCTCCTCGTCCACCACCACCACCACCACCGCTGCCGCCGGCTCCATCAGCAGCCCTCGCCCCAGGCCGCCGCCGCTGCCCAGCGAGCCTCTTGCCATGGCCGCCGGCCAGGCTGCCGATCGACGATGTGCGGCCAGGGGTGCCGTCGACAAACCCCTCATTTGCTCCGTCTGGACTCGGCTGGGCCCGTCGCAAAAGACTCGCACTCGCATGCCATCTGCTCGGAGAGGGCGTGATGCTTGTTGCGCGCCATGCTGCCTCGCTTCACGCGCCATCAATCACAGCGCGGCTGGCCTTGGGTCGTAGCACCACCGACGTCTTCAGCCCTAGAGTGCGCCTGAGTCACGCGCGCCCCCCCGACGACTTCGACGACCATCTCGACACCAGGCCGTCTAGCTGCTTGACGCACCTGCGGCATGCCCCGCTCGATGCGATGATCCTGTGGGCGCCTCTGTGCAGCCTCTCGGCAGCCTCCCATTCGTCGTCGTGTTTGATGTCGGTATCACACTCGACGGCTGCACAGCAAGCGTTCCTGAGGCTAGTCGCCAGCGATGCTGCACACGCTCTTGGGCGCTGGCCGGCGAGTGCTGGTGCCGGGCTCACGCAACACGACAGCAGACGTCCTGTCCGCGGTGCATATTGCCTGCGAGCAATGCCATCAACCCCGCATCTGCCCGCATCGCATTGGCGTTGCTGTCGAGGGCCAAGAGGCCTCTGTTAGCCCCGTCCCAGACGCGCGCGCATCCGCTCTTCAAATGGCTGTGGCCGTCATCTTGGGAGAGCCCCTCTCCTGGGTCAAGTCAGAAGACATCACTCGATCCTCGTCCGTTATGACGCAAAAGGTTGTTGCAAAACATGGCGACTGATGCCACCCAATGCGTCCAAGTGTCTCGTGAGCGCCAACCGGCACAGTTCGTCGGGTGTGGTTTCATCGTCGTTTGAGTGCCTTCTTTCGTACGCTGCTCGAGTTGCGGGCCGATACAGAGCATGCCCGAGAGTAGGTGTAGTCAGACGGCGATACCTGCTGCTGATTTTCTGCCCGGTCCCTCTCATCCCAGATTTCCCGGCGTCTGCTGCAGCCTTGGCCCTTGGTGCGCAATGGGTGTTCACGCTGTGTTCGGTACGTTGCCATGCGCCGTCTGCACGTGAGTGGCGCAACGAATTATCTTGTCACTCCACCTGCACCTGTCAAGCCATCCATGGTTATGCGGTACTGTTGCTGCATCCAGTAATTTGGAATTGCCAGGACTGTTTTTGACATGAGCCCCGAGTGCAGCTCCATCTGGGGTGTGCCCGGCTTTGGACCTGTCTTGATGGCGGTCGGTCGGAGCAACACAGGCGGCGGCGGAGTTGGCAGCGCCGACCGTGCTGGCGGAAGCTGTGGATATGCTGGACCATGGGTATTTGGTCAAGGATGTCCGCTGTCGCTATCACCCATCAGGCCAGTCCTCCGTGCGCGCGTCGTGTGTCCTGGTCCTGTCAGTTCCAACGCCGCGGAGACTTGTGGAGTACTGAGGGGTTCGGCAAGTCGATGATTACTGTGGCGGAGGCAAATTCCCGGATGGCGAGCAGAGAATTGCGTTGGAACGCTAGCCTTTGTTGCCAACAGCTCACCGGTCTACGTGTGGGATGTTGGGACTTGTAGTCATGGGCTGGGTAAGCGCTCTCGTGAGCGTATTTACTGTACTCTGAAAGCGCCATTGGCCGAGGTTAGCAAGCCTTTGCATCGGGTAAATGAAGAGCAGGAACTGGCAACTCGAACCAGAAGACGAAGAAACATCATGGGCGGCGATGACTTGGTGTCGTTGTGTTGAGAGTGGGAGTCTCCGATGTGGGGCGAATGTGCAGTCGAGGTTGATGTATCAGGGCAGATACAGAAGCGCCTCAGCGAGTACCAGAGTCGGAGCAAGGGAGACGTAGACTCGGAGAGACAGCGACAAGTCCACGAGATTGCCTCTGCTTTGCCCTACGATGTAGGCTAGAGAGGTGGTGTCAAAGAGGATGGACGTGGGGTGTGGGTTGTTGGGTGTTGGGGCAAGCGCCAGTTGACAGGCAGAGGGGCAAAACATTGCGGTCACCAAGAGGGTGCAGCACCTGTTGTTAACATTCACGAGGGCAAACCGACTACTACGGATTTGGTAGGCGAGACCAGTACCCCTTGATTGCTCTGGCAAAATGCTCCCTTCCGCCGGGCCTGCCTTACGCGTATCGACTTTCCACCCCTACCTCGACTCTCCCCTGCCGCCTCGACGTCTCCAGCTGTGCGCATGGCTCTTGTGGTTCGGATTATCATGATCCGAGTCCATGTCCTCAACACTACTGACTGCGCACAGGAATAGTCGGATTCGCTACTCACCTCCACACAGCGCGCTTCCCAGTCTGTTTACTCACAGTTTCCAACACCTTCAGCCTCGCAAGTATGTGTCTCCTCGAATCGACAGTCTGTTCATGGCGCATGCTACGATAGCAATGCTCTCGGCCGCGCATCTTTGGTACATGTCGTGGAGCGGGGTAGGTCTGTCCTAGGAAGTGCCACGGCAAGTTTGGCTGGATGATCGATTCCATACTCGATTCCATACTCGATTCCTCTGGGTCGGCCTGTCGATGGGTAAATCAAGTCAAAATATGGCTTATAGCTCAGCGCCGAGTCCGAGTCGAGGACATGGAAGATGAGGCTGACACGAGGCGCATATCCAACGACAATCGACAATGATTACATGGAGCCACGTACGAGAAGATAGGCAAAGGAGAGCGTCTCCCCTAGACGCTACCACAGCTGTACTTGCAAGCTGGGTGCCAGCAAATACTCGATGGGTAAGAAAACAGCAGGTAAGACATGAATGGGCGGACACTCGAGGTCCAATGTGTGATTAGATATGATTCTTGTCCCAGCAACCGAATACGAACAAGGCAGTCTTGTTTATACCACGGTGTAGGGCTAAGAAGGCGCATGGACTCGAAACGTGGTCAAGCAGGCATTCAGGACGAGTCAGTGGGTTGCTTAATGCAGCAATGCGGTCTTCACTGGATATCCGAATGTGGCTAGGATTCACCGACAAGATGGTACTTTCTTGAACCTGTGCAGTGGTCTCAGAGGGTGTCAACAACACAGTTTGTGTTTGTCCAGCAATGTCGAAGATGAAGCCGTCCATGTGACCCTCGTGTCTTTTGTCGAGGCACGATGGGACTCTGGGCGAGCAGCCTTTAAAAGTCGCCTAGACCAAGATTCTTGTCTTTGCAATACAGATACGGGCTGTACATAGGTATAGAGGGTAGATGATGCAGGGCAGGGCAGGGCTTGGACTATAACAGGCACAGGTGCATAACTCGATGTTTTTGCAGCGGGAAGAGACGGATGCAGATGGGCAATGGCCCACAGATAGTTTACAAGGGCCGACTTTGCCGTACAGTGCAGGCACTAGGTTGCCTGATGTGGTCTAGGCGGCGTAAGAGTGGCTCGCAACATAGTCCACGCAGGGTAAATCGAGTGCCGCGGCGTTCCTCTACTGGCCACAGATGCGGGTAATATGTGCAGCCATGGCGGATGACGGTCGAGGGCAGTGTGCAGTGTGCAGTGTGCAGAGACAGCAGACAGCAGACAGCAGACAGCGTCCTCACATCACGTGACGCGCTGTGCGTAACCATGACGATGACGCAGATGCGGGCGTTATCGATAGGCACGCATCCACACCCTCACACTGCCATGTGCATGGCGTCAGGAAAAAGACGGCCATGCCTATCGTCGAGGGCCTAGACACACACAACGTGTATCTATGTCATGGCGCCAAACATGTACGTAGGGAAGTGCAGTGTTTAGTGTTTTAGTGCTATGGGATAGCCTCGAGGTGCCGTCATTGGCACGGCCGAGTAGCGCTTATACTCCCAACCCTGCCATAGCCGTATCACGCTCACAGCTGTTGCGCAGCAACGCCCATGCACACACGCACACACACACACACACACATTGGCCGCGCAACAAGAGATAAAAGAGACACAGGTGTCGTCGTGGCGGATGCACATTCTGTCTGCTCGTCATCTTTGTCCCTACCGCACCATCTTCGACCTGTCTCCCCCTCGGCCCTGCAGCAAGCGACCTTTTTTTTGATCGACGCCAATAGTGAGGTAAGTCAGTACCGATGGTGCCGAATAAGGGTGTCTGGACCCTGGCGTGACGTAGCGACCGGCGATAATGCCCATGACGCTGCCACTGCCCACACACACCCGCTTGCCGCCGCCGCCCTGCGCTGACGGCAATTATTATATTTTTGCTCAGCCCACCTGGTGCTCACTCTCGCCTTCTCTCTCACTCTCTGGCAAATATATATCTTGCTCCAGCCACTTTCTCCGCCTCGCTGCATACCGCCATTCCTGATCCTGATCCTGATCCTCGTGCTAGATCCGTTCCTGGACCCTTTGCAACCACCGCCATCACCACCGCCACATCTTTCCCCACTCCATACATATATACCACCGCCATGGTATCAAGGACACTGTCCATGGGCCTCCGCGCCTGGCAGGTACGTGTACTCGTACTACAAAACTCGCTTTGGCTAACTCCTCCCCAGCTCATCTGCGCCCTCATCGTCACAGCCCTCATGGGCAACAACATTGCTCGTGCCAACCACGGCACTCACTCCATCATCAACTACTCGCTCTTCGTCGGCGTATGGTGGCTCTTCACCCTGCTGTACTTCCTGCCCACGTCCTTCATCGACCGCTTTAGCGTGCCCATCGTCGACATTGCCCTTGATGCCCTGAGTGTCATTTTCGGCTTCTGTGCTGCTGTTGCTCTGCCCTCGTATATCGGCGCCCACAGCTGCTCCAACAGCGTACGTTTTCCCCGTGCTCCTCGATACATGTGACAAGTCAAGTTAACACGGCTCAAGTGGTACACGCATCACAACAGTGTGCTCAACAGCTCGCCCGACACGGAGCAAAACTGTCGCCAGGCCCAGGCCACCACTGCCTTTCTCTGGTTTGGCTGGGCTGCCTTCGTCGCTACCCTCGCCGCCAACATGATGAACGGTCGTGGCAGCGGCGCCAACCTACGTAGTGGTGTGCGTCGTGGAGGCCCCGCCATGAGCCAGGTCTAGGGTGCCTGTCGCATCCGCTCTGATGCTTCTTGGAACACGCGATCAGACGCGAGCACCGTTTGAGCAAGTCTCTAAACCGTGTCCAAGACTCTTTGCTATGCCAATCTGTACAATATCACGCGGGTGGAGGAAGCATTGTGCTAGATGCCGATGCCGTTGGGTTTTGCTATTATCGGGAGGATTGCAAGGATACCAGTATACATGTCTTATATATTTTCTTTCGACCGCGAGCGATTGGCGAAACGATGGAAACGATTTTAAGCTAGTGTAATGAATATCATGGTTAATGTTACACATACTTGTATGCGTATCACGATGCTTAAGTCAATTCTTGCTGTGAATAAACAGTAAACAATGAACAGCCATTATTTTTCGAACATGTACTACACAAACACAGAATCCACGGATAATCATTTTATTACAAAACAAAAAAGAACAAAACATATGCATCTACTCTGTTTTGCGCATTGCTAATCGCTCAATCAACAAACAGTGGTAAGTCGTCGTCTCACCTTGCCCTAAACTGATCCAAACAATCAACAACCCTAACACCGACCTAGTCAACACCAAGACTCGTCGTAAAAGAAACGTCAAGTTTAGAAAAAATACCCCTGAAAAAACAAAAGAGAAATGGACCAAAAAAGAAATGATAGAGACGAATGGAGAGACTAAGAAAAGAAAAGAAAGCATGCAAAATCATGGGAGAAATGCTTCTCATGACGATGATGATGATGATGATGCTGCAATAAAACAAACTAGACTTGGACAGCAGGGGGGGGAAGGCAGATTGTAAAACATGCATCCCTACTGCATTCCTGCCTCATGTCTTCCCACCCACCCACCCAACCACCAAGCCCACAACGTGCAAGTAGAATATATATATATATATATATACATGAACAAACACGAAGGGAAATAACCAAGCAAAACAGCCTTTTGTGCGCAGGGAATAGACAAGAGTGCAAAAAAAAAACATACACTCATATAAAAGGCTCGTTCCGATGATGGAGAAGGAGAGAGAGAAAAAAAAAGCAAAAACAATCAAAACGCCAGTCATGTATACAGGTCCCATGTATGTAAAACCCATGAATGCAATGCAATGCTGGAATGCGTAGCCATAATCCTCTCTCCCGTCGCCCATACCAACCAACATCAAGACCAAGAATAAAAACAAGCATCCCCCCCATCATTCGCCGCTTCACCGCGAAGAACTCGATTGCTTGGGAAGCGGTGATGGATTGTACGTCCACCCGCCATCACGTACAAGACGCTCTCGCGCTTCTCGCTCTTTGCGCTTCTCCTCCGACGTCACCTCGTCATTCGCCCAGTATGCACTGCTCGTACGCTGCCGGAACCGCTTGTGCCGCTCCTTGTTGGGGAATACCTTTTCCATTTCTAGCGGCGGAATCGGGCCAAATATGTGCTCGGGGTCCATGAGCTGTTGGTTACTGAGCATCTCGCGTAGGTTGGGCGTGTTGACCCAGCTGGGCTGCTCGAATTCGTTGTCAGAGTCTTCGTCTTCCGAATCAGTCATAATCTCAGGCAGCTTGATGTCGTCTCCGTTGGGATATTGAGGTTGCGACTGCGCAGGCTCGGCAAACGGAATCTTGCCCTTTGCAAACTGCGAATGAGCTGGCGTGATTGGGTTCAGATTTCTTGCTTGTTGCGAAGGACGTTTGGCCGGGCGATGAAGCGTCTCTTCACCCTCACCAGGGAATTGTCGCTTAGGCGGCGGCTTGGCTGGGTTGACTGGAGGAATGTTGATGCGGTTAGCATCTTGGACAGTCTGCATTCGTGATACGGGCCGTGCAGCACCAAGGTCAGCTCTTGTTTGCGGTGCTGGAGCCTTGGGCTTCTCGACCGTCTGTGGCTGGGGACGGGCTGCCCGAGGCGCTGGGGCTCTGGCCAGAGGTTGAGCCGTCTTCGAAGAGCCGGACTTGGTAGACAGAGCTGAAGCTGGCCGCGTAGCTTGTGTCGGCCTTGATACTGGAGCAGAAGCCTTGCCTACACTTGCGGACGCTGAATGAAGAGGCTTGCCAGATGCTGGGCCCGGACGGGCAGCTGGTGGAGGTGCTTGGCCGTAATGGCTGCTCTTAAGATTGACCATGATCTTCTGTGGCGCCTTTGCCTTGGGCAGAGTGTCTTTGCTAGTCGGCTTTGGTAGTTTCTTGGGCTCTCGAAGAGGTGCCTTGGTAGTTGGTAGCAGGCTCTTTGGTGCAGCTGGTGGCGGCATGTCTTCTGAGGAGTCGAGTTCGTCTCTCGACGTCACCGTGTTCGATCGGGGAACGGTAGGACGGAACAGCGGCTGTTGTGGTGCTGGCGGGGCAGGTTGACTCGCCTGGACCGGAGTCTTGGTGTTGGCTGTAGCGACCGGCGGTCGGAGACTTGCTTGAGACGACATTGCAGTTGGTGTCTTGACGCCCAAGGCCCTGGCCTTTTGGGCATGTGCCGCAGCCTTGTTCTGCTCCTTCTCACGCATCTGCCTGAGCTTATCCTCGTTGCGCTGCTGTTTGGCCTCTCGGGCCTCCCTCTCTCTTGCTTCTTTGTCCTTTTGCTTCTCTCGCTCTTCAGAGCTATCAGTCCGCTGGCGATCCGCTTTGAAGGGACTGCTGGGCACTGCGCCTTTGCTCGAGTTGTCCGAATCCTTGGATGGGGAACGCACGTGACCGAAAATGGAGATTGGCCTCTCGGCACGCTTAGGGCTAAATGCGTCGTCTGATGAATCCCGAGAGGGCAACTTGGGCCGTGCTGGGCTCTCCTTGAGCGAGTCCATTTTGACCTGGGCGCTTGCGGCAGTTGACCCAATGAGCTTATCCTTTGCTGCCCTGAATGCAGAATACAGTTTGGACTTGGACGCGCTGAGAGGGGCATCCATAATCCGCCTATTCAAGGGTGAGCCAAGCGGGGTAGTTGATTCAATGTCAGCGAAGAGTTCTGGGTTAGTGACAGAGACAAGCGATGCAGGCACATGTTTAGGAGGTGATGGGCGGGCCTCGGCCGTGTGGCTTTTCCCAAAGGCGGGCCTGGCTGATTTGGGTAGAGGTGCAGTTGCCCGGACCGGGGATATCCAATCATCGTCGTCATCCTCTTCCTGTGCGGGCTCTGGAACCGGGAGGCTTGGGTACGCTGGCTGAGAAGACTGCGAAGGTCCTGCTTCTTCGGTTGGCTGTGTCGAAAAGTTCTGCTGCTGTGAGAGACGCGAAGAAATGACATTCTGGCTGATTCGTTTGGGTGCTTCGTTCTGCTGCTTGAGCATGTTGATGCGCTCAAACAAACGCTGTGTCGAAGTCTTGCTGTGGGCCTTGGTAGACTCGGACTCGTCTTTGGCAAGTTCTGGGCGTTCCGCGTCATCCATGTCATCGACCTCATCACGGTGCATCTCAGCAGGATAGGCAATCTGCGATCCTCCCAAGCTCTTGCCGCCAGTGAACCTTGCCATTTGGCTATTACGAGCATTGTTTTGTTCAAAGTAGCTTGTGCGGTTGCCCATGCTCTTCTTTGGGAGTAGTGGTTCGCGCGCTGGAAGAGAGGCAAAGTTGAGACTGCTTTTCCTAACAAGAGGCTTTACTGGGCTGGAGTTATCCGAAGGCGAGCGCACGTCGTCGTCAATGGCCATTTGGTCGTCAATTTGGTGGTGAAGAACTGTATCATCGGCTTCGAAATGGGCAGGCGGCAGGCCAGCGGGTGTTGTGGACTGCTCTAGCGCGAGGGTCTTGGGTTCTGGGGCGAGCGCACGTTGGTTCGCCATATCAAGCGCCTCGTGGGTCTCGGCGGAAATGCTGTACTCTTCGGAAACAGCGCGTGATGGGTCGGGGAACTCTGACATGTCGTGCATGCTGGCGTCCTCTTCGGCGTCGGAAATGTCGTGGTGTAACATAGTGTCCTGCGCGTCAGAGCGCGCGTCCTCTCCATCCAGTTCCATGGCAGAAGCATCGACTGCATCCAAGTCCTCATTGGAGTCACTCTTGCTAGCAAAACCTTCATTGGCCGAGACAAACGAATCGCCCATATCTGGTTTGTCGTCTGTTGAATGCCTGAAAGATTGAGTAGGCTGTGTGGGTTGCGTCTCCTGCGACTGTGGGGGTGAGAAGACGTCGCTGGCCTGCGACGACATTGCAGTGTCTTGCGTTGACTGAATAGGACTGCGCAGGGCCGTGGGCGGCGCCTGGCGCTTTTCGAAGATATCAGCATGGTAGCCGCTGTTGACATTCTCCTTGCCCGCGCTTTCGGGCTTGGTAAAGAGCTGCCGTGCGATTGGCGTACGTGTGACAGGCGAGTGTCGAACCGAATGTTGCGCGTCTTCTGCAATGTGGAACCTAGCCTTGGCATTTCTCAAGCTCTGTTCAGCAGGGCTCATGATTTGCAGGTTTGCCGAGTGAATGCTGGCGAGCGGCTGTCGGATGTCAGTATGCGAAGCGCAAGTACGGGGACGAACATACCTGGCGGTCGGCCGCCTTCTTGCGCGCTGTGCGAGGCGTCTTGCCGCGCAGCTTGCCGGGTGTTTTGAAGACATCGAGGTTAGGTCTACCATGAGTTAGCATGGAGCGCACTCTTGCACGAGAACGCGACGTACTGCCTGTCGCTCGACAGTATGTCAAACATGTGTTCGTTGAGCCATTCCAGCTCGTTGCGCACCGAGAAGCCAAAATCCTCGAGCTCCTGGGCGACGAGCGTGTTGGACTGATGGCGCTCTTCCAGGATCCATCCAGCGGACCCGATAGTGGGTGCTTTGGTGCGTGCAGCCATGTCGAATATATGTCAAATTGAAAGTGTGTCAGGGTTCAAGCGCGTCGCGCGGGTGGTAGTCGCGTTCCGGGGCAAGGTAGTGGGCGTTGCAGATTAGCTGGACATGTCTATTCCAAGTGTGTCCAGTCAATTGTAGCTATGCACAGAGCAAAAAAGAGCTGTCGAGGGGGGATGTCGTGAGGGCGTGGGAGAGGTGAAGGTCCAAAGTCCAATGTTGTGACGCGGGATGAGTCCAAACAATCGGCGGAGGCGGCACATCGCGCTGGCCCGAGCGCCGCCAAGCGCCGCCTCTCCCCTTTGAGCAGACGCCTGCATCATCATCGCAGCGCCTGGTTGTCTCTCTCGCACACGAGAATTATTTTTCGGGCTCTGGATTGATGATTCTATTCACTATGCATCACGACGTCCCCAGCCGGAAGCGGAGGGCCCTGTATGTGCCTATCGAATTCTCTCACGCCCGTTGCGGGGTCGCCTGGAGCCGTTCAACACTGACCGCCCGGCTATCTTTGTCACGGCTTCTGGGCCTTGGCCTAACGATTGACCACTGGCATTCCATGCATTGGGACAATGCTCTTGTTTAGAGACAAGACACTCTGGATGAAACATGGATACGACATGTTTCCAGCCCACATACATTCGGAGTATCTGGTCACGTGATGTGTAGATGGCGACAACCGACCATATGCTGCTCAAGGGTCTGGCGGCGATATGTACCCTGAACCAAACAACAGGCGCAGTTGCACTGACCGGCATGCGATTGACGTACGGCACGACGCTGAACAGCCCCGCAATTGCGGTCATGGCAGTGGGAGCGGAGGCTGCATCAGCTGTATGTCGTTGTTTGCCGTCCTTGCATTCACTCGTCATTAGGCAGCTGGAGGTGAGTCCAGCACAGCGTGATCTGGTTGTCACCTGTAGCCGCTCCTGCCGTATTTGCAAACCCCCGCCCTTGACCAAACAACCCTCTCTCACTCCCCCCTCACCATTCTTATACACACATCAATCCAAAGAGTGCTAACAACTTGGGCGAACAAGACAATATGGCTGATACCGACGACAACTGCAACCCTGCACAGCCCGATACTGCAGAGCTCCTGCGGGATCTCGAGGTAGTTGCAATGCTTGTCTTGTTGATCCACATCATTAACACACAATCCAGGCTGTCACGGCAAGATTTCGAGAGGCGTTCAAGGTCAGCAACACCAAGCAGGAGCAGCCTCTTGCCAAAGATGAATCATCGAAAATCAGTGATATCGGCGAGAGCCGTGAGGCCGTCATAGACCCGTATATCCTTGTGCTTATCGACGCGCACAGTCACAATGTGAGTCCACTTGCTACAGCAATAGATCTATTACTAACAAAGTTCAAGTTCAAAAAGAATCATGTACAAGGCGCCGAGAGTGGCGGTGCCAAAGCTGCGGCAGTACTCAAAGAAGAGACTACCCAATACCTTTCGTCGCGCCTGTCAGCAAAAAAATATCGCACAGACATATACGTTTACGCCAACTTGAAAATGATTTCGTTTCCCACAGCAGAGCGACACACTGCGAAGAAATTGCTTTTCACAAAGGCCGATTCAACAGCAGCCTTGGCAAAATTCGCAGCGGGCTTTTCCTGTAACGACGTGACAGTTAACTATGTCAATGTAGCTGACGAACAGGTCGTCGAGCGCAAGATCTGTGGTACGTACCCCAACCTCTCTAACAGTCATATCTGACAAGACGCAGCCTTATTCAAGATGCATATTACCGAACCCCATTGTCAGCACATATTGTTTGGCGCAAGTGGCAGTGCCCGTTATACAAGCACCCTGGGAGAGCACCTGATGTTCGCCGACAAGATTACACTGATTCAAAGAGGCAATCATGATACTAGCCTTATGAAATGGGGATTAAGAACCACAATCTTTGAGCGAGCCTTCGAGCCTCTTCCGGGCATTAATGCGACCTCTAAGAGCATGGGAAAACCTTCCAATTCATATGTTAGTATCACCGTCGTCACGCCATGTCTACTCGACAACAGAAATGAACACCACTGACAATATGACAGAGTAGTCAGTCTGGAAAGAGTACTAGTTCGATGTACTCGACTGCCAGCAGTCCCCGCAAGGAAAATTTTAAATCCCAAGTCAAGCCCTTTCCCAAGCCTCCAGCCCCCGTAATTTCACTCCCTATGCCTGGCGCTTCCGGAAAACTACCCGTGAACGCAGCTGGTCACCGCATCGATATGCATATGAAAGCACCTACTAAGAGCGAATGGAATGAGTATCATGCTTGCATCCGCACAAGAAAGCTGTGTACCATGTTCCATCTTGGCCAAGGATGCAACAAGGCGTTTTGTACACACGATCACAACCCGATTACTGACAATCAACGCTATTGTCTTCAGTATGCGATGAGAGCATTGCCATGTCGTAATAATGGTGCATGCCGCGAAGTACATTGCATCAGAGGCCACGCATGCCACCGCAAAGCGTGCGACACCAATCCTGAACCCTGCAAGATGCCTCCCGGGCTTCATGGAATCGACTTCAGGGTTGCTGACTGGGTTGTACCGAATGGATCCTCTGAACGACCAGACGAGGTACCAGACGAGGTACCAGACGAAGTCTCAGACGAGGTACCAGAAGAAGACGACGCAAGCCAAGAGAATCCCATAGAGGTTGAAGAGAGTTGGGGTACGCGTGTCGGCGTCCTGATTGATATTGACCCCTATGAAAACGAAGATGGTGGAGAGATGAGTATGTGGGTGTAGCGGACTTGTGAGTCAGTCTCATGATACTAAAAAGACAGATGGGTTGAAGAATTTGAGAAGAGCCGGTCCATGGGGGCATATGGATCACCATGGCAACCAATGGAACCCCTGTACAACTGCTGTAAGCCAGAAAGACATAAAAACCAAGAAAACGTTTTAATATTTGATGTTTCCCCATCAATTGCTAACAAAAGTGTACTCATTCTCTTAACTTGAGCACCGTATTAACCGCATCCGTGTTAGCGCAACAGTATTACTTGAACGCCGTTGGTCAACCCTGTATACCTTAGCAAACCACCATGTCCCAGTCAACGCCACCGCCACGTGCACCCAGCTGGCGCATCCACGCCGTAACGGCCAGCAGCCTCGACGCCGTCGTGCGCTTCGTCGGCCATGCCCGCCGCGAAATGTTTCCCACGCTGTGCGCCCAGCTCGACGCCGACGTAGCGCGCTGGGTGCAGTCGGGCCATTTTTTGTATGCGACGCAAGCGGCCCGAGACAGCCAAGCAGGACAGCAATCATATTACCCAGCCGAAGGAGAAGAGAATGGAGAAGAAACAGAACAAGACAACATCATCGCTACAATTGGATACGTCCCGTACAACCACCGCTTCCCGCATCTCGCCTACACGCACAGCGACACGCAGCGAACCGTCGAAGTCGTGCGCCTCTACGTCATGCCTGCGTACCGGCGCAGCGGCCTAGCTTCCGCACTAGTGCGCCAACTCAAGCAGTGCGCGGCCAACGATGGCGTGCACCGCTTGTATCTGCACACGCATCCTTTTCTGCCGGGGGCCATTACGTTTTGGGAGAAGCAGGGGTTTGGTGTGAGGGACAGGGAGGACCATGACGAGGTGTGGAGGACTACGCATATGGATGTTTTGCTTGTGCATGGCCAGGAGGACGAGGGGTACGAGGACGAAGAGGGCGAGGATACAAAGACGTTGTAAAACGCCATCTGGTAGGCATTCGCTGTGGAAAGGGGAGTCGTGGTGTTTTGGTGGCCATCAGGGTACACGATACTCGGCGGGTGATCAAGATGGGCAATATTTATCCACGACTACAACTCCAGCTCAGCCCTCCTCATTTCGCAATTTAGTTGAGAAACCAAGTTTATTTCGTCATTTGTTAGATAGCCACGCCCAGCTTGTTACATCTTTAGCTTGCCAACACACATGTTGATTGGATAGCCATCTTCATCTCAAGTAAACATTTCTCAAATGAATGAGCGTATGAGGACGTACCATCATCCGCATCTACATGAAACTCCTGTATTTTATGACCATCACATGCACGCTTGAAACATCACATATCAAATGCACCATTCGCCGCCTTCCAACAGAAACAAAACGCCATGCCTGAAATGAACAAACTAAGCAACGATAAGCCTTTTCGCGGTTTTTTTTCCTCATCAACACCTAAGTCTCAGACCACCTTGCAATGGTAATAATGGTAGTGTAGACCATGGCGACGAGTCCAACCACCATCATGGTAATGTCGCCTACCTTCTCCCAAGGCCGGCTCGCCACACCCTTGTAGTGCAGGTAGGCTGGGTAGATGTACACCAAGGGCACACAGGCAAAGCTTCCAATGAGCGCAACAAACTTGTCGAGATCGCTAGCTCCGAGGATGGAAATGAGCCCGCAGAAAATGACCAGGACAGTCCTGAATGCGTTCTTCTTCCATTTGGTCGAGTTACTCTGCTTGCCGGATGCGCGCTTGAAAATCTTGAGTTCAATGTTACGCATGGCGGGGAAGAGTTGGACAGGGGTGCCAACGAGAACAGCCATGGAGTAGAGGAACTGGACGGCATTGACGAGCTTGCTGCTCTGTGGAAAGTTGGTAATGACTTCGACAGAGACGTTCTGGCCAAAGGTGCCGTAGCAGAGCACACCAACAGATGTGAAGATGACGGTGATGATAACCATGACGAGATAAAGCAGCTTGCTAAAGTGCTCCGGCTCCTTCATACTCGATTGGATGGGAAGAATAAGACCGATGCCCTCAAAGGTAAAGATGGCCGAGCCAATGGTCAGGGTGAAATCGCGTGGATTGAAGAGCTCGATCGAGGGGTGGAAACCGTGCATCCTGGAGATCCACGAGATGTCATACCAGTAAATGTACGTCAATCCAATGAGAATGAAGATGTCAGCAAGCAGAGCCGCAGGCCCGAGCTTGGAAATGTTCCGAATGAAAGACATGGGAATCAAGACGGCAACCTGGATTCCAATCAGCTGGTTTGTCGAGAGTGGTGCCTTTGCGTGAGTGACGGCATCAAGGAACCACGCCAGGTTGTCTGCTGTGAAGATGAGGCCAGCACAGACAAAGCCGATTTGCGAGAGGGTGATGGAGACCAGGATGAGGGAGCGGAACCGAGGGCCGACGACAATTTGGCCGAGATCGCCGTAGCCTCCGCCACCATAACGCGACCTCGTTGCCAACAGCAGCTCGAAGCAGAGTGCTGTGACGGCCGAGACGACGATCATGGTGATGGACGAGAAGAGCATGCCACCGTTCTTGAACGCCTTGGGCAGAAACATGATTCCGGTACCGATAAAGGCCTTGAGGAGCGTGAAGAAGGTCTTGACTTGGTTAGCGTCTCCCTGGGGTCTCAGCTTCTTGGTGCTCTGACGACGTCCCAGCAGCGGTCTGCGTTCGCCCTGCTCCTCCTCGTCTGTCACGGCCGACTCATCGTCCGTTTCTTCGAGGTCTTCACCAGCAAATTGGCCGTAGAGAGCCAGGAATGAGATGAAGTTGCGCGTGACAGGCTCAGAGATGTAGCTGACGCGCTTGCTCTGCCGCTGCAGGTACTGTCGTCTTAGTCCGCCTGGCAGGAGCTGGTCCCGGACGGGGAGCTCATCGTGGTCAACGGTCGAGTTGGAAGGCCGGCGTTGGTCGCCATAGTAAACGGGTTCTGAAAAGGTGGCTGCTCGCTGATGCAGCTTCTGGCGCCTGTTCTGAGCGGCAATTTTGTACAAGTCACGGTGGATGTCGCCGCCCTGCAGGCGCAACGACGACTCTGGCATCTGACGGTCGATGGAGTTGGACGAGCTTCCTTGGCCATCGTCTGAGGCTGGTGGTGCTGGGTCAAATTCTGAAAAGTCGTAGCTGGGATCCAGATGGCGCTCGAGCACCGATGCCTCCTGCGGGTTGGCGCCCGCAGTCGTCTGCGGCGTGTCAGCCATGGCCGGGAATTTCGGAAAAACACAGGTCGGATCAGAAGGAGATGTCGAGCTCAAGCGCTAGCAAAGAAGAGTGTCGGTTGCTTTGGGTGTGGCGGTGAGGTGCACTCGAAGAACAGCAGCCAATTGGAAGGGGTTGCAAAGCTCAAATGGTACGTGTGCGTGACATCACCAGATCCGCAAGACGCAGCTGCTGCAGAGGTAAGTAGCAAAGGAAGAGTATTTGCAGCGACGTTGGCGAGCAGAGAGAGGTTGGGAGGCGATGGAGGTTGCTTGTTTGTTGAAGCAAGATGAAAACCAGAATCTTCGACGAGAGCGTCAGTGCCATGAGAAGGCATGACGATCGGCTGGCGCCTTGGCAGCCGAGCACGTGCCCGGGGGAGTCGCCATCCCTGCATACGCCACAGAGTCATTGGCGGGCTAAGCGAGACCCGTCTGCGCCCGTGCGCTGCCAATACATAGTGATGACCTGATACCGAGCCAGCCGGCTGAATCAATCAATCATTCACTCTGCCGGCTTAAAGCAACAGAGCCCTTTGTCCGCACCGGACACGTTTCAGTCTCTGTGTGCTCTCGACAGGACAATTGATAAGCGGCATGGCGAGCGAAGAAGAGTACGTGATGGCTGCCCAACACCACCGTCGAAGAATGTCTCACCATGGCCCCCCCGCCCAGATTCAGTCCGCCAGGGCATGCTGTCCCGCCGCGTTACATGCATCGCAGACCTCCACCTGAGGGGTCCGACACTAACACCCGGCCTTACGCCATCTTCTTCTCTTATTTGCTGGCATGCCTGTCCGTTGCCGTCTTCATCGTCCTCAAGCTCGTCCAGCGAGCCGGGGCCCTCGAAAAGTCCAAGACAGCTCGGCCTCGCAGAAAGCATGTTTGGCTGTTTGGAGCGCTGGCCGCGGGCAGCTTGCTCACGACATGGACGCACATGTTCCGGTACTTCAAGTTCAGCTACCAGACATGGCTCCTGTGGCGGAGCTACTATGAGCTTGAGCCCCACCAAAAGCACTGGGGGCTGTGGCTCAATGAGACGAGCCTGTTCCGAGAAGCGTGGGAGACGGTCATTATAGGGAATGCTCGGTATTGGTGGTCGCATCAGATTTTCTTCTTTGCCTTGGGCCTCGGCCTGTATCTGGAGCAGAAAGGTGAGCACAACGCATGTAGTAGTACATGACGCCAACTAACAGGACAGGCGTACGGCGTGGCATCCACTACACCTGGGCGTACATGCTGCTCGGCCAGATTGTAGCCATCAGCTTCGCTACGAACCTGTTTCTCCTCACGTTGCTCTTCAGCCCCGCACCACCAGTGGCCAAACCAGCAGCGGGCAGCCAGCGGTGGATTGGTCCCTGGCTCTTGAACCTTTTCTCTATTTTTGCAACAGCGTATCCAGCCATGCAATTGGCCGATGAACACTACTGGTACCATCCCACGCATTTCATGCCTATGCTCATGGCTCCCCACGTGGCTCTGATGCTGTTGCCAGTCGCACGTGCGCTTGTGCCTGCCAGGTACTTGAGCGAAGACGTTCACTTCACTGACAAGGCCTACGACTACATGTGGGCGTTGGTCGTGGGGAATGCTGCGCTGATGTTAGCATGGACAAGTGCGACTGTGTACAACTACAGCGGACTGTCAGGCATACAGACCGCTCTGTTTGAGCATCCGGCGGTGAGCAGCGTGGGCTTCGATGTCATCTTTTGCTGGCTTACTTGGGCGAGCTGGTTTCTGACGCAGTCGGGCCTTGCTCAGGACACGAGTAGCACAAAGCGAGAACATGCTGTGGATGGAACGGGCGTTGCTCTGAATGCCAGTGGGCGTGATTTGAGCGCCAAACGCCACTAGTAGGAGGAAGATTGGTACTTGGGTCAGTGTACCAAAGGGTTACAATGACTGCGGACGAGCAGCCGTGTATGGCTCCGTGTATGGCTCCGTGGACGGGTTGGACCGTGTTTGTGCACTAGCACTAGCAGCCTTTCAGCGTTGACGTTTGCCAATTCAGTTTTGTGCAACACGGGGCGATGAGACAGTTGCAACTCTGTAAGCCGGGTGTTCCGTGTAGTAGTAGTAGGTCATGTACACCAAGTAACGGGCCGCTCGGGAACTTAGATGCACATGAATAGCGCATGTGCATGAGGTATCGACGCGGAAAAGCCGGGGGCATTCGACTCTGCCACTAGCTGGTGTTAGCTGGCTGTGGTAGTGTGAGCTGGCACAAAGGCGACGCGCTAGGCGGCACGCTGGACGGATTCCTTTGTTGTGGTTGCGTCGTAGAGGCGGAATACTTTGCTCAGAGTACCCATGCATGGGATGCGAATATCACCCCAGCGCTCCGTCATCTTGTACCGGCACGTCTTACACGACGCTGATTCATCGCCCCACGCGATACGCCCGCTGCGTCCATATTGCCTCCGGACCCGGGTCTTGTTGCCGCGTGCTTGCTTATGCTCGTCTGTGTGCATGCAACTCCGGCTCTGGTGAAGTATTGATTCTGTAAGAATAGCACCCTGCAAAGCTTCCCCAGACGGCGGGCTCGGGTTGGCTCGCTAGCGCAGCAGATGAGCTGTGAATGTCCTGAAGCAGCGCAAGCGCGCTCGAACAGGAGCATCGGCAGTCGGAATACGAATGAACAGGCGTTGGAGGGAGAGGGGTAGCAGAGTGCGAGTGGCGAAAACCACCGGCTAGCGGGATGGCGAGGGCTGGTCGACTGCCGCTTTGGGCACACACCTGACCTTTGTGCAGGCGGCACCTCGAGCCAACACCGTTGACGTCGCCGTGAGGCTGCCACATCGCGCCATGGGCAGTATACTTAAAGCCCGGCCGTGCCACTGAAAAAACAAACCACGCCCTCGCTGCCATCTATTACTTCATCCTCTGCTTGAGCCATCCACTCCCGCACCTTCTCCTGCCCACGCCTCGCAGCACATTCGACATGAAAGCCTCTTCACTCCTACTATCCCTCGCGGCCGCCGCCATTGGCAGCGCCCAGGACTGCTCACAGTCCTCGGAGCCCTACTACAACATTACCTCGAAGCCCTTCTACCTGGTGGTCACATCCGACGACGGCACAGTCAACTCGACGCTGAGCGCCTGTCACGTTGGCGCTGCGCTCGAGTCCCTCTGCCTCAGCAGCGCCAAAGCCGGCGACAGCCCTGCTGAACTGCCCGCCACTACATTCCAATTCAACACGTCCATCTACTCGCAGGCGCCCGACCCCTCGCTGGGCGTCCCGGGCATCCTGACGTGGACGCTCCAAACGAGCACCCTGAACGTCTCGTCGTCGGCTGCCTTCAACTACGACATTACCTCGAACCTGGCCGTGCCGATCCTCAGCCCAGGGAGCGACCAGCCTACGCTCGTGGCGTTCGATTCCTGCGATGATCTGGCCATCCAGGCCTATGTGCCCGGCAAGAATGACACACAGGGTGTCACCAAGGCCTTCAACCGCTGGTACGCTTGCAACACGACCTATACTAGCTACACGTACACCAATCTCGCGTGGGGTCTGGGCAAGGGAGCGCCTGACAATGAGAGTTGTGTCAAGGTTAATGTGATGAGGGTGTTTGCATAGGCTGTATGAAGCAACGATGATAATGCTAATGTATTATGAAGTAGATAGTATTAATCAGTAATTCACTCCTTATCCAAGACATGTACCAATTCATGCCTCCACTCGAGACTGCTGTCAAACGCATCTGCAGTGTCCTGGAAGAAAAAGCACCACCAACTGTACGGTTGGGAAAAAGAAACCAAGACGCCTTTTCTTTTCTTCTCCTGGACTCCTTGGTCCACGCTAACAGCACGATCCATCATGTCCGTTGCGCGCGTTAGCATTAGTGTTCCAAGTACCAGGTTCCACACCGCTTGGATTCTTTGTTTTGCGGAGCTTGTACCTTTTTCGCAGTGTTTACTTGGCTTGAGCGTTGGTGGAAATTAGTCACCATTATTCTTGCTCTGGGTGACCTTTAGAATACAAGTCACGTGATTCCGACAGCGTTGTGAGAGGCCTTTGTATCCTCGAGTATGCCTAGTATCCATAGGAAGCTCTATAAAATCAATCCGATATGCCAGCATGGCCAAGAGATTGCTGCCTCGCTTCCAGCGGCTAATTTAGAGTGAGCGAGTGCAGTAAGATTGACTTCTTCCATCATACATTGTCAGAACATAAATACGGCATGGGTAAAAAAAAGCGAACGCAACATCTACCCCCGTGACTATATGCTTACAACAACAACAACAACATGGACATGGTGTTTTCCTAGCCTTCTTTCCAAGTCCAACGCCATGACTCGGGTAGCGGTGTGAAGCGCTCTACTTCTGCACTAGTCGAGACAAACCCGGTGCATCCGAGTCGAACAAGATAACACGCCCACATCGGTATCCCAGAGCAAGGCAATGACAAGCCCAAGCCCGTCAAGTGGCTCCAGTCGATCCACTACTATATACGGCAGTAACAAGACGACAAGCTTTGCCCAGAGCGCGAAGCCTTTGGCGCCTCCCCCTCCCCGTGCAGATCCGGAGATAACCACGTAACGCGTGTCGCCAGCGTACTGCAGTCGTCATGGTGCTGGCCAGCTAACACGAATCATCACTGCCTGGTGCGGCGCCGGCTGCGACTTTGTATGCGGCAGAAAAAAACAAAACTCGCGCTTGATATTGTCGGGTGTGAAAAGCAGACATATATGCTGACAGCATCGTGGTGTGTGTGCCTTTGATTTGCTCATCTCTTCCTCATGGTTTTTTTCGCACTCCTGTTGCCTCTGGCTCTGCTATCCACACGCGTATACTCGCAGTCATCCGCTTCGTCCTCGGGCACGCTTGTCACAGCTGCCAGTGATGTGTCGGCGTTGACATCCAGCGGCCTTGCAGGTAACTCTCTAACGTGCACCCCGAGCGGACCGTCATCCAATGCGACAGTAACGACCAAGAAGCTGACGGTCATAGTAGGCCAAAGCTCTTCCACAGCCTCTACCAATGCCACGGCTTCAGCAACGACGTCGACGGTGGCATCGCCCCAGCCGACGGCCAACACGCAGTCCTGCAACGGCTATGTTGAGTTCTGCGACCGCAAGTTTTCAAACGTGTCCATGGTCGTGGCTCACAACAGTCCATTCGTCAAGCCCCACAATGCCGCCAGCAACCAGGCGTACCCCGTGTTGACGCAGCTGCACGATGGAATCCGTGGGTGTATGTATGTCAACCGCCCTCTTGACGTGTCACGTGGCTGACTGCAACGCAACAGTGCAATTCGAGACACACAAGCCCAACCAGACGTCTGCCATCCGCCTCTGCCACACGTCCTGCGACCTGCTCGACGTGGGGCTCCTATCGACGTATCTAGCGACGGTCAAAACATGGCTGGACACGAACCCCTATGAAGTCATCAGCATCATGATGGGCAACAACAACAACGACCAGTTCCGCATCGCCCCGGCAGACTACGCCTCGGCCTTTGCCGACGCAGACATGACCTCGTATCTGTGGGTTCCGCCCGCGCCCAGCATGAATCTCTCCGACTGGCCCACGCTCAGCGAAATGATACTCCAGAACAAACGCGTCGTCGTCATGCTCGACTACAACGCAAACCAGACACAAGTCCCCTGGCTCCTCGACGAATTCAGCTACCAATGGCAAACCCCCTTTTCCCCGACCGACCCCTCGTTCCCATGCACCGAGCAGCGGCCTGCAGGCCAAGCCGCCGCTGTATCCAGAAATCGCATGTACATGCTCAACCACAACCTCAACGTTGCCGTCGACCTGGCGGGGCTCTCGCAGATCCTGATTCCAGCCTACTCGCTGCTCGACCAGGTCAATGCCGTCAGTGGGAATGCGAGTGTCGGTGCGAATGTTGACAATTGCACGCAAATGTGGGATCGGCCGCCCAACTGGATCCTCGTGGATTACTACAACTATGGCAATTTCAACGGCTCTGTGTTTGAGGTGGCGGCGCGTGCGAACGGCGTGTCGTATAACCAGCAGTCGTGCTGTGGGCCCGATACGGTGAGTGAGGCGAGCGTTGGAAGACTTGGGGGGTGGATGGGCGTGGTGTGGATTGCCATGGTATTCTTGGTATGGCGATGACGGATACATCGGGGGTTCTTTTTCTTTTTTTCTTTTTGGTTTCAAGCATACACAAATAACGAGGCGTTTGAGCGTTGAGGATTACTGTCCATGTTAGCATATGATTAGCGCGCAGTAAGTGTGTAGAATCCCAATCTTACATACTTTCTCACATCTTGGCTGTACACCCCAGCAATTCATAACTGTGTGATATTCTGGTCTCATGGGTATCTCATCTACGTATGAAATCATACCTCTGCGCTTCACCTCGTCGGCGCCACGCTCGCATATTCTCCTTTTCCAGCATATTCCCGTTCGAAGAAATGGTAATTTGACTTTTCCCCTTTGCTTAGCCTCTCATACTCGTTTCTCCTCGAATAATTGACTCCTAGAAGACCATCTCATGTGGTCTCTCGCCACTCCTCAAACTAAAGCTCGCACCCAGGTAATCCGTCAACCCCTCTGTCGCCTTGACGCTCGCCAAAACCACCTTGTCTAGCTTTTTCTGATCCTCGACTCTCTTGACATCGACTTCCTTCTTGGCCTGGCCCTCTTCCTTGCCCTCAAAGAATTCATCATCGTCATCCTTCTTCTCCCTCGCCCAGTACTCGTCGCCGCTCGCGCGCTCCACGACTTCCTTGGCATCGGCGTCGCTTTCAAGGGCTGACATGTCGACGACAGTCGAGGTGGCAATGACGTAGCGGTGGTTCACGCGGCGCATGGGCACACCGTTGATCTTGAAGGGACCGGTGACGAGCAGAGTTCCCTGCGTGAGGTGGCGCACGAGGACTACGCGTTTGCCGCGGTAGCGACCGGACAGGATGATGAGGACTGTGCCTGGCTGGACGAGCGAGTCGCGGTATTTTGTGCTGTGGGGGGTCTTTCGCGCCTGGGTCACCAATGTGTCAAACTTGGCCTTTTTTTCTTCTTCTGCTTTTTTGGAAATCACCCGTATTTCTTTACATACCTTTTTCATTTGCGCCTCCTCGTCGGCGGCATAGTACTTTGATGCTTTTTGGTCCGACATGTTGTGTGTGGTAGGGATTGGTTTTCTACAGGAAATGTCAATTAGAATTATTCGCAAAATAAAAAGATGCCTCTGCGTAGTGAGAAAAGACTTACAGTTGATTGCGATGCCTGGTCGCGTCTCGAAATGCGTTGGACCTGTGCGAGGGTTTCGCTAAGGTCAGCCCTACGAGTGGCGCTAAAGTGGTCGTCCCCGCAATGTAATCGCTTTACCTATACTTGCGCCTGCATAACACTCTGATCAATCCTCGACTGGACTGGACTGCGAACCGCTAACTCGAGCACTGCCCACATTCGTTTTTACGATGATAGAACAGATTCTATTCCTAATTAAATCAACACCAAAAAACTGCCCAACCACCAGTGGATGGCAGGGGTATCGTCAAAAAATGTCAACCCACGCTGCAAAAAAATCCACGCCATGCTAACAAATTGACGCCGAATATGAGACATGTTCCGCCCACCCGCCCTAGACCGATCCCATCACATTAGGTATATCGCCGTCGTATGCGTCCGTAGGTGTATCGTGTTGCTCATCTATTTCCTAGCATCGCTATCCCGCCTATTGCTGGGGGCAATACTGCTGGCAGCAATGCTGACAACGTCGCTCATGCTGTCCTGATCGCGCTGGTAACTGTATTGCATGCCCGAGCCTGGGCCCTTGAAGCCGTTATCCCAAGCCGAGATGCGCGAAAGAAGCCTAGCCACGATTAAAACAGTTCTCGGGATGCAACAACAACCATATGCGCATGTGACGGCAATCGGAGTGAGGGCGCTCACCGATCGTCTGGGGGACCGTAGAGGTCTTCGGGAATGAGTTCGTACTCGCCCTCGTTGGGCAGGTAAAAGGCGGAGGCGGCCATGCCAATGGACGTGAGGATGAGCATGGTCCAGCTGGCAGTGCACAGAGACCACGAGAGGTCAAGGTGCCAGCCTTTCCAGAAGCGTTCGTCGTGGTCGAAGAGGAAAGCCTGGAGAGTGAGTTTCTAGTTTCTGGCGGTGCGAGGGCGAACAAGCACTTACTACAATGGCCATGGCAGCACACTGAACGAGGGCGCTAAACGACAAGACGCCCACGGCGACCTGCCATCCAGCAGCCCTGCGCTGTACGCCGCCCGAGATGATGACGACAAAGGCGACAATGGCGCACAGTTCGACGACGACACCAAACGAGGTGAGGAAGCCAACGGTGCGCCACATGTTGCAGAACGAAGGGTCCTTTGTGCAGTCGCTCGACTTGGGAAATGGAACACAGGTACCCGTGACGGCGGAGCAGCGAGTGTGCAGGCCGTACGAGTATTCGCGCTCGCCGTTGGGGCTATAGCTGACCCAGCGCGGCATCGAGATGCTGGCAATGGTCATGACGGTGCCTGCCATGTGTTAGGCTCAATACGGCCTTCTTGTCCATGGGCGAGTGCTGCTTACAGGCCAGGGTGAGGGCGAGACCGGCGGCATACACGGTTCTTCGCGTCATGGCGATGGCGTAGCAAGAGAAAAAAACTGGTCCAAAGGGACAAGAAGCGCGCCGGGACTCGCAGTGGCGGGCGAGGGCGAGTTGCGGGGGATGTTGAAGATGGAGGTGAGATGGGATTGTGCACTGAGACAGAAGAGCAACGCTGGGGCTGAGGGCACACGCCAGCGACAGGCTGGGCAGAGGCACAGGAGGGTGCAGGCGCGGTGGTTGTGGTGGTGGAGCGGAGGCGGCCGCCAGTCGAGGAGATAGTGTGGGTACAAGGCGCGAAATAAAGCAGCCACACCAAGCAGGCCGCCAGGTGACGAATGCAGCAGGTAGGCAGGCAGGCAAACGAAGATGCGGGGATGCAGCGATATGGCGGGGGGTGTTTTGGTCACTACGCGAAAGCCGGCATTGTGATTGCAGCGCTATGGGCGATGGAGGGTGAAACGAGGCGTCCTTCAGGCCCTTGTTTGTTGGGGATGGTTGTGGCCTTGGTCGTTATTGAGAGAGGGGGCGAACAGGAATGGCGGCGCGCGCATTCGGTCGATGACGACAGGGGCGGCCCACTCCCCGCCCAGACACCCACACATGCTTCTCGCTCTCTCACCACTCACACGCAACGCGAATGCTCAGCTTCAACCTTTCTCGTCCATTCTCTTCATCTGCCCTGGTCACCATCATCACCACCACCATCACCGCCATCATCGCCATGCCCGTCACGCGCCGCCGCCGTCGCCATGGACCATCCCCCTGCCCTCAGTGGAACTAGCTCCGCGGCATGCCATTGTCAAATGGCGGTGTCAAATTCCATGCTCGCGCAGCACATCGCATGCCATCGCCGATGGACGCCTCGCATCACTATTACATTACCCACACACCAGACTGCCCTCGCACTCGCCCGTCCCGTCAGCTTCACTTAGCTGTGCTTGCACTCGCACCTGTGCTGGCTGCCCCGGAAATCTCTGCACATCACGCGTTGTCTGCTCTTATACCGGGCTGCACTTGTGTTGAGCGGTTTTGGCGCTGATACAGAGATAAGGAGACGGTCACGCACACGCTCGCCGCCGATCCCCATGACGCCACATGTCGGCAAACACGTGGGGCAGACACTGTCTTTCTGTCGTTGTTGTCGCCGTCGCCGCAGCGCCTGTCTGTCTCTCTGCTACTCGCTCGTCGACACGGCCATCCCCCCCAGACCGTGGCCAAACAACCGTTGCAACTACATCCTTCGCGCGGCGCATCGCACCGCATCCCAATCTCGCCGTGCATCGACCCCACACTGCACCCGTATGCAGCGCTATATTGGGCGGCCATGTCGTGCATGTGCAGTCATTATCTCGAATTGATAACGACGCACAGTGCCGCCCGCCATTGGTGAGCCGCCAACGCCCTCGTCGTCCGAGCTGAGCACGGTTGGGGAAGCCCGCAGGTCTCGACTCTAGCCACCCGCCTGTACACCTACATGTGTAGTGTGGACCCTGGTCAACGGCATGCATGCGCGTTAGTCTTGTGTGTCTGGACAGGAGACGCAGTTAGAAGAGGGCGTCGTGTGCATGTCGCTTGGCCTGCTCCTGGGGCCTCTGCAGCATCTCGTAGCAGAGGATAGAGGCCGCAACGCTGACGTTCAGACTGTCGACGCCCACCTCGCCCGCCCCTCGTCCATGCGGGATGCCCACCTTGTAATGCGCGAGATTCAACAAGCTATTGCGCAGTCCGGTCCCTTCGGCGCCCATCATGAGTATCGTAGGATGCTCCGCCACCGGGCTGTGGTCCGGAGAAAGCCGCGTCGTGCTTCGAGCAATGGTATATGCTACCCTGGCAGATGCCGCCTCGGCACTCGACACAGCAGCAGACGCCGCGCGGGGCACTGCATCGCTCGCGTAGATGCGCCAGCCTGCTCGCGAGCTCTTGCCCAGGAAATCGTTGGGCTCGCTTACCCTGAAGACCGGCAGCGCCTCTGCGGCCCCGGCCGACGCCTTGACCGCAATTTGACTCCAGTTTGCCGTGTGGTGCGTCGGCGTCACAATGGCATCGGCCCCTAGCACGTACGCTGACCGCGCAATGGCTCCAAGATTGCCCTCGTCGACCTGAACCGGTTAGTTTTGTATAGTACCCATAGTGGCCAGTGCCGACCTACAACGCCATCAACATAGAGGATCAGGGGGTGTCTCCAGCCATCCGACTTGTACGAGTACACCTCCTGCCTGCCATTGACCTGCAGATCCTCTGCGCTTTGGCTTCCCAGCGCCAGTCTAAACGTTTGATCCTGTATCGATGCCGTCTTGAGCTCTGTAATCGGCGGCACAGGCAGCGGTGACGATTCCAAAATCACCCCGTTGTGCGGACGTCCGCTGCTCGCCTTGTCCATTGCCCGCAGGTACTCGTCCCCTACTTCTTGCATCAGGGGGAAAAGCTTGTGTGCTCGAATTTGCGCCATGAGTCCGTCTCTGCTTGCTCCCCGCGAGTGCACATAGAGTTTGTAGAATTTGCGTCGGTTGGCCTTGATAGCGGCGAGGACGCTCGAGTGTCCGTAGATGAATTCCGACGCCGCCGTGGTGTAGGGAAACGAGTCTGGTCCACGCACTGTTTTGTTCACAGTCTCGGTCGTGCTTCTCCCTCCAGACGGAACAAACCTGGGTTCGTCTCTGCTGAGTTGCTCCCGTGCCGGTGGTGCGCCTCTTGTATCCGTACGGCTAGAAGGGCGCCATGGACTGTCCGGTGAATCGCGCGTATCCCTCCTGCGCTCAGGGTGAAAGGCTTCCTCTCTGCCATCCCTTTGCGAAAACCTTGCAGGATACCTTTCCCCCTTCACATCACGCGGACCTGCCCTTGCACCATCGCTATAATCTCGTCCTGCGGGTGAGCGTATCCCTCTTCCCTTCTCATACCTCTCTCCATCTCGCCGTCGTTCTTCAAACCGGTCGAATCCTGTTCGTCTTTCTCTTGCATGCCTGAAAGTCCCTTCGCTCCGGTTACTCTCTTCATCCCAGCTATTTTGAGAGCGCGGCGCCCTGAAAGGCCGTTCCTGGAATGACCGTTCCTGGAATGATCGTGTCTCGTGTCGACCCCGCTCAATGGCCGATGTGATGGATTTGTGCCGCCGCTGGCATGCCCATGCGCCATTGACTCGCGACGCTATCACATGTAATTGCCAAGGGCCTTGGGGGCGGGAAAGGAGGCGCATAACAGGCACTGTGGTGATATACAAAATAGAGAAAAAAAATCTTGTGTCTTGCGGCAGCGGCGGTGGTGGTTCGGGAGTTCTAACGATGTCGGGAATTTTTTTGCGAGGGCAATTGGAATTTGGCTGTTTGGGGTTAGCCTGGTGAATGCTTGCGCTAGTGGACAGCATCAGCACGGCCAATCAGCATGTAGTACCTCGTTGCCTTTAACTTTTCAGATGCATACCACTTTGAGAAAAGAGTGTTGCTTGGTTGCTCATTTGCAAGCCATCTCATTCATATCTGGGTGCGTGACTAGGAGTGTCTTTATCTGATATCCTGTATAATCATGTACTGTTACATGCCCAAGTAGCCTAGTGCTTATATCAAGCAAACCTACTATGCCCAACACATCACGCTGTATACCTTTGTGCCCTCGTACTCGCTTGTCGAACCTAATCTCGCCTCGTCATACTGATCGATTCAAAAAGTAACCAGCCTTCTGGACCGATGTAAGCTCCAATTTGCAGGTATTTTTTCAGAAAATCTCTATGACGTGACGTAGAATTAATTAGCTTTTCGTATTTCAAAAGGTCACGTAGCCGGCTATGTCTACCTCTACCTCTTTACCATCCGACAGGTGCCCAGCGTCTTTTCTAGTGTGTAGGCTATGCTGATAATTTGTTGAGTTGCTACGCAGCCTTGTAGCCACTTTGCAACTCTCTTTGAACTGCATAAGAACTCTGTATTCTTTGCAGATGCATGCGGGGTTGTTTTAGTGTTGAGTAGGCTGTAGGACCCGTTATCTGTCAGACCAAATAGAAGCATGTATTGGACGCCATTCACACACACACGGCTGACGGAGTGCACCCTAAGTGTATAGGTGTAGAGACAGCTGAGAGGCAATGCCTTCCCCTGGATTAGATGCGCCAATCGGACTTGTTTGCCGTACGCCACAGGACGTTCTTCGCCCAATTGGAAGCGTGTCCGTACGCCACATAAGAGGCTTTTAACTTTCCATAAATGCATGTGTGCTGGAGCGTTGATTACGTTCCACTGCTAACTAGTTCACCAGTCACGGCGCTTAGCCTTCATCCACTCTGTGGGGAGGCGAGCCAGCTACCATGTTCACTCCGTGAGCTCTTTTCAAACAGCAATCGTTAACATTGAGGACTATATGAACATTTTGGCCAATCAATCGGCAGTGCACAACAAAATAAATAACATGGTACAATACCTCTTACATCAACCTACTGTGCCGGTGCTGCCAGCTAACCCTTTTGCACTGCACCGTGGGTCTATCCTCTAGCCCCTCACTCTTTATAGAAGCGTTCTAGAATTTTGTAGTATGTACGTTCAGAATCTTTGCAGCAAGAAGGGCACTAGCTGCATAATTCTCCATGTAGCATCTTGCAAGACGAGTAACAGTTTCCACCGCATCTTTTGACTTCTTTATCCAAACGACAGCTGCGGTTCTTGAATTGAACCAAGAATCCTTGAGAGCATCGAAGCCCATCAGCTCATGTAGATCCTAATTGCAAAGACGAAGAAGTTAAGATCAACAAATGTCATAACAATGGGATGGGCAGTCTGTGCAGCTGAGTCGTTTAAACGGTGTGATTGGGCCGTATGGGCGCTGATCGTAGTAGAAAGAAGCAGAATGGAGTGGTTATCTTTAGGGGTTTATTAAGCAATGCCAAAGCTTGATGTAGCCCCATTACTCTCTAATTCATGGATATTCTTTCTGTTGCGTCTATTAACTTATTCCTTTGGTGTTCAAGTGGTTGTGGATGAACGATGGCTCAGTCCTTGTCACTTCATCATTATTGCGATAGAGCGAAATTCCCCAGATGGTTCCTACCAACGCTGATGCTGGGCTGGACACAGACTAGAAGCCAGTTTTTCGTATTGAACGGTCGAATGCGAAGCTTTGAAAATAGAGTTTAGTTTACTTGGGTTGCGGGCGGACACGGGGACGAGAGAGCCGGAAACCAGAAGCACAGCCCGAGCTGACAGGGAACGCCTGACTCTTGACCTATTGTGGTTATGTGGCTGATGTTAGCATGAAATAGATTGTATACGGTAGCGAAACTAAGCCATTGTGGCGTTCATGAACGCGAACCAACGTAGTGTGATTCCTGTTCAGCCAATGTTTGGGATCAAAGCCACAAGCCAAGCGAAGGAGTGGTGTTCAGACGGTTCTCAAATGGGTGTGCGCGTTAGCGGAAAGGGCTAGAGATGCTGCTTACAGGTCAAACGCAATAAAGCCATAAACCAGTCCACGGCTTCGTCTCCCCTTCCCCGATCAATGTCTCGTAAGCTAGCCTTGTTTCAGAAGGCCTATTAGCTGTGCTTCGGGTGATTATGCCGCCAGAAGACATCATTCCATTTGCTTTTGCGTGTTTCACTTGTCTCTATCCCTCCGGTAGACCTAATTGCAGGCTTATATATCACCCACGGAATTATCAGCTGAATCGTGCCGTTTTCAAGCACCTGAGTCGAGGCAATCTGTGGCTTTGGACAAGCCGCGATTCTCAGACGCTTCTCGACTAATCGGTACTTCTTCCCGCTCCTACTAATCGCTGCATCTTATTTAATATCTGCAGCTTCTGTCGACATGTAATATTCTTTCACAGTACCGAGTTTCCCTATCGTTAACGTACCCCCCCCCCCCCAAATTCCTCTCGGAGACCACATACGGCTTTCCTTTCATATTGGCATCATGAACACTACATCTGAATTAGTGGGCACATTCCCCCCGCCACCAGGAGTAACACCAAACTTCATCAATCCTGAAAGCACCGCGTCTCAAGTCGTGCTCTGCACGATCCTGACCCTGGTTTTCATGATCCCATTTTTCGTTCTGCGAATGTACACCAAAAAGTATATTCTCAAGCGTATTGATCCGGAAGATTGTAAGTATAGAGTATATCCAGTTCCAGATACTGAGGCTAAGTATCAAGATTCGATAATCCTTGCCGTGGTGCGTAGTTTATAACGAACTTTGCGTCCAGCAGCGCACTGACGGTTGTGTCTGTTTATTAGCTCTTTGCCTTGATGTATTCGATCATAAATCTGCTACGTAAAGCAAGCCAGTCCCCCATTCGCTAGATCATGTCTAATCAATCTTGTAGAGCTGAAGAACGGCGTTGGACGGCACATATGGGATGTCACCCTTCCACAGTTCAAGCGGTTCATTATTGTACGTATGAAAACGCCTTCGGTATATGGAATTCTCTCAGCATACCCACTTACTCATTGTCGTCCTCATAACGTAGACAGGAATTCCTTCTGGGATATCTTACACCCTCTCATCCCTCTTCGTTAAAGTCTCACTCGGGCAGTTCTATATCCGAGTCTCACTGGATAAGTTTTTCAAGGTGGTAACATACATCATTATCTTTGTTTGTGTGTGTTACAACCTATTGGGAGGTTTTAGCTTTGTGTGGTTTTGCCGCCCAATTCATAAGCTATGGGATTTCGCCGTTCAGGGACATTGTGTCAATATGAACGCAGCTTTCAAAACGCTCTCTGCGCTCAACGTTGCAACCGACGTGGCGCTTCTGATCTTACCGATTTGGTTGATGTGGAGTATGCATCTACCATTTTGGAAGAAAGTAGGGACTGTGTTCATTCTTATGACGGGTTCATTGTACGTCTCTCGCAGTGGGATAGCGAATGTTGGTTGATTATCATACAGTGTTTGCGCCGTGAGTATCATTTGGATGGCTATAATGCCCTCATTGGTGCAGCAGCATGATGCAACATATACCAATGTGCAAAGCGTCAAATGGTGGTGCGTATCATCCATTCTATTATTACGTGGTTATCTTGCTGACACCAGCTCTCCCAGCCTCATCCATACCTATGTCGCCATTATATGCGCCTGTATGCCATTGTTACATAGTTACGCTCGGCATCGCTTTCCCCGCCTCTTTCCAACAAACGAAGGACACGGTCAGGGCTTAGTTCTGATTACTAGATGCAACATATCGCTACCTAGTACCGACCCAGAAGCATCCCCAGTGGAAACAATGTCGAACCTAGATTTTGGGCATGGAAAATGTAATTCATCTTGATTCAAGGATGACCTGAAATTCAAATGCAACTGGAAAAAAGTATGGTGGAGTTGATGACGGATGGTTGACCTAGATTCGAGCGCTATCTGAGGCCGAAATCCGTCTGGTAGGCTCAGCTCACACAAATTGAGCACGGTGGTCGTCCCGCAGTCGGTCAATACTACCCATCTATATTTCAATCCAAGTGCCACGGATCTAGCAACCCATGCCGTCTCTTTGAACAGGAAATTTCAGCTTAAGCAAGTGGTGAGGGGTGCCGGATAGCGATAGCTAAAGAAAGAAAGATGCCTGACAGAATTCATACAAAACATACTACAAATACCGCTTTTCTATTGGCAACGGAAGACCTGTACCGTGAGGTCACCGCGTGGAAGAACCATCCCATTGCCAGCATAGCCTTCTTTAACAGTTGGAAAGTTGCTTGTGGTTCTACCATCAAGGCTGATAAAGTTCAAAGGCTCAAATCTGAACTGGTCTAGTATCGTCGCAACTGCTCCAAGGACCTCTTGCTTTGCAAAATTGCGGCCGGGACAGATACTTTTACCACCGCCAAAAGGGAAGAGCTTGCCCGCCGAGCCCGCTGTGGAGAAAACTGTTTTCTGAGTCGCAGCATCAAAGGCCAGGTACCAATCCACATGAAACATATTGGCCGGTACGCCGGGCCATAGACGGTCATCATGATGACACACCCAAGAAGGAGCTTGTACGGCGTCTTCCTTGCACATCTTGATACTGCCTTCTCACTTTCCCAAAGGTACTATTAAATCTTCCGTGAGTTCTCGGGTCATAGGAGCATCTAAATAGAGCCTCATCATTTCATGGAGGATATTGTTAAGGAGAGGGAGAGTGAGCAGTTTGGGGATGTTCATGTTGTCTTCTTTAGTTTGTGAAGCAGCTACCTCTTCCAGAACTCTCGACAACAGGGTGGGGTTTCCTTTTGGCTTTAGCAAATACAGAAGCATCCACCCAATGCATAAAATGGCGTTGCCGCTAAGGCCAAACATAGTGCTGAGATCTGCAGAAGCTCTGGCGCGTTGTACTCATTCCCAAGTCGCGGTACAATATGCGGCGAGCTCTGTAGAACCAACTTACAAAGTCAGTATGCCAAGCGATAGGCCCCATTGGGTCTGTTATATGTCCTCGATGTTTGTTGTGAGTCAATTTGTGCCAATCCGCCATCCGCGAGATTGCTCGCGTACATCATATATATCACCGGCAGCCCAGCTGGGAAGTTAGAGCTTAGCGGGCACTTTGGCACGATTAACTGAGCTGCGCTACCTTCACATAATAAGCGTTTCTAAAGTTACGGTCTAGGTTCTATCACCTCTTAGTAGACAAAGCACTCTTCGATTGCTATTAATCGCACGTCTTGAAGTTATCAACAGTCAAAGACTAGCATATAATATGCTAGAAACAGCAATTTGACCTGGTTAGCCGCCTCTAACGCGGTAGAAGCTCAGCGAGCCATAAGTGCCTTCTACTCGGCAGACCAACATGGTAACCTAAAAGTACCTCTACTAGAATCTCTCAACCAAGGCAATAACGGTTGGTGGGCCGTTGCCAACAAAACAGTACTGCAATACTCTTCGCTAGTCGGAGTGAAGCTACAAGGGCTATTCAGAGATTGTGGCATAACATTCTCATTTAAGATCTTATATACTAACTTTTCCTCTTCAAATGTTATACACAATGTTCCTCCGCACGAAGCATTGGCATAAATCGGAACGCCGATGCCTACAAACCAGACTGATCCCTGTCCTAGAATTGCAATTCAGGTTGCAAAGGAAATGCCAGTAAGTTCTTTCCTCGAATGGAAACGACCAGAGCTGAAACCTCAGTAAGATGTAGAGAAGCGAAATGTGATATGACTTGTATGCGGCACTGTCGTTTCGATAAGAGGCCGCCCAATTAAACTTTCTTTTACATCTACAGCTTGCGAATCATACGTCTCTTCATATGGTTCCCTTTCGCCAGCGGCTACAACAATAGCAACAAGCTTCGCCCATAGATGATTTCATCTATGGCGATACCGCACCCTTCAATTACACTTTTCCGCGAGATTAGCAACCGTATAGGATTCCGAAATCGCTACCAGCTCACAATGATACCCAATCCCATTCTTCAAACCTCGGAGTTTCTATACTTGATGACCAACGCAAATACATTCCAACCTCTAAGATGCATAGAGACTCTTCCCCCTAGATTATCCACACCACAAGGCTAGAGCACTATCAATGATTGCATACAGATGAGTTTCACAATATCTACAGTTACCTGAGGAGAGAATATATGCAAGTCTTCCCTTCATCTGAAAACACTAAAACTTTACTTTTAGCTTTTCTACTAGATAGTTTCCATTTCTTCATATCTTTTGAATCTTTTACTTACTATCCATTTATACTTTCATATTTCTGATATTTTAAATCGTTTGAAATTTTTTATTGTTCGTAATATTCTGAATATCTTAATATACGTGATATCCTGAATATTGTTATAAATTCAGATATCGTGAGTTATTATTATACGTAACGTATGTGGCAAGCGAGCGCCGCAGGCAAGCGAGCGCCGCACCCCACCAAACCTGCGCACCTCTCCTATCTCAACGAACAATGGCTCAACGTAGCGCTACTCAATTAGCTTTGAATAAAGCAGATATTCAGCTTGCTATTTCTTCTATTAATCTCTATTAAACACAAAGTAATCGTCGCGCTGCTGCTGTCTACAACGTGTCTAAACGAACAATCCGCCACCGACGCGCTGGTATACCTGCTCGACGCGATTGCCAGCCTAACTCAAAGAAGCTCACTAAGCTAGAAGAGGAGGTGATAGTTGATCATATACTTGATCTAGATCTACGTGGATTTGCGCCCACGTATGCTGCTGTGCGCGATATGGCTGATAAGCTGCTGGC